ACACTGGGAAAGGAAATCGACTTTGGTAAAGTGCCAGTGAACTTGATCTCACCCTAATCACAGACCCCAGCCTACCAACAAGGCTTGGTACATCTTGCTGCAGGGATTCCACCCCGGACCTTACATTTGTAAGGAACATCAAGAAGGCCCAGTGGATGAACCTTGCTGTAGACCTAGGGAGTGACCACTGCATTCTTGCCACTACCTTCTCCGTGGAGCGTAAAAAGCAGAGAGAATTCCACTTCACAGACTGGGATAAGTTCAGGAAGATAAGGATGGAAAGGGAACGAGATGGCCACAGACAAGGCTTGGAGCAGTGGGTCAAACAGATTAAAGATGACATCAAATCCGTCTCCTCCACCATTGCCACAGATTTTCCGGTTGAAAGAATGGATAGCCGGCTCACTTATCTTCTTGAGGCAAAGCAAGCACTACTGAACCGTTGGAAGGGTCAGCGCCTGAACCGAAGACTGAGGAAGAAGATAGCTGAGGTAAACAGATCAGTCGAGGAACATTGTCGCGCACTATCGAGGCAGCAATGGGACGAAATCTGCAACTCCGTTGATGGTCAGATGCGCAATGGCAAGACATGGAATATGTTAAAGCATCTCCTCAATGAAAACACCACCAAAACAAATCAAAAGCATGTTATCGCTCGAATTTTGCATAAAGAGATAGGGCGCACTACAGAACAGCAAGTTGTCCAGCAGCTCGTGCATAAGTACCTCCCAATCAAAAGAGGATTGGCACCACCAAGTAGACAGTACCAGGGCACGCCAAATCCAGGTCTTGAGGGCGACTTTAACATCCAGGAGATCAGAAGAGCCTTGCATGATCTCAACGGCAGGTCGGCCCCTGGCCCGGACGGTATATCAAACAAGGCCCTGCGTAACCTTGATGACGATTCAATTGAAACCCTGAGGGATATGATAAATTCAGCATGGAAAGAAGGCAGGGTGCCAGAGCAGTGGAAGCTGGCCAGCACGATCCTTATTCCTAAGCCGGGAAAGCCCCCTAGCTTGGACAACATGAGGCCAATATCCTTGACATCATGTATCGGCAAGGTCGCGGAACATGCCATACTGCACAGGATAAACAAGTACTTGGAAGATAACGACATATATACACACAATATGGTTGGATTCAGGGCAGGGCTATCCACACAAGATGCATTGAAGCTTATCAAACACCAGGTCATTGACAATGAAACCAGAGACGTGAGAGCCATTCTGTGCCTAGATCTAGAAAAAGCGTTTGACAACATCGACCACTCATTCATACTCGAAGCAATTTCCAAGCTTGGTCTAGGGAAAGCCTTCTATGACTACGTATGGTCCTTTCTTACAGATCGGAAAGCCGTGATGAAGACTGCAGATATGGAGACCGCAGCAATCAAACTAGAAGCAAGGGGCACGCCACAAGGGGCAGTGATTTCACCAATGCTGTTCAACATTGCCATGATTGGACTGTCAAAGAAATTATCGAGCATTGAAGGATTGAAGCACAGCATCTACGCAGATGACATTACCATCTGGTGCACAGGTGGAAGCGAGGGGCAGATTGAGAGCGCTCTGCAAGAGGCGATCGACACCGTAGAAGACTACCTTCGCCCTTCCGGGCTCAAGTGCTCCTCGAGTAAGTCAGAACTTTTTCTTTATCGGATTGCACGCCGGGGACCGAAGCCCAGGGGATGGAAGCCGTTAAACCAGATAGACATACATCTCCGTACAAATCAAGGGGATGCCATCCAGAGGGTCGACTTCATCAAAGTCATGGGAATGCTGATAGAGTCTACCGGCGCCAACAGCAAATCTATAGCCAAGTTAACTCGGAAAACAGACAGTGCGGTGCACCTCATACGCAGAGTGGCCAACAAAAGAAATGGGATCAAGGAAGACAACCTCATCAGGTTGATGCGTGCGTTTGTTCTAAGTCACTTCACATACGAGGCAGCAATGCACAACTGGTCAAGAGCAAAGTCCGAGACACTGAATGTGCTCCTCAGGAAAGTTATCAAGAAGGTCCTGGGCCTACACATACATACCAGCACCGAGCGTCTGCTTGAGCTTGGCATACACAACACGCTCGAAGAAATAGCAGATGCCCAAGAGAGAGCACAATTTGCAAGGTTATCTACTACACGGTCGGGGAGAATGATCCTGCAGGAGCTGGGCCAACACCCAATAGCAATCAGACGCAATTACAATGATATCCCTGACAACATCAGAGAGACTATCACGGTATCTCCTATACCGAGAAACATGCATCCAGAACACAACGTCGGAAGAAGAGTAGCGAGGGCCAGGACTATACTTCGTCAAGTCTCAAACGAGGAACGAGGGGTGGTATTTGTTGACGCGGCTTCTTACGCCAATGGGAAAGCGTTTGTGGCAGTGGTAGTCGATGGGGCTGGCCATGTCGTCAACTCAGCGACGGTCAGGACGAAAGACCCAATCATTGCGGAACAAGTGGCCATCGCCTTAGCACTCAAGATGGATAACATTGAAGTCGTCTACAGTGATTCCATGGCAGCACTACGGGCGTTCGCCAAGGGGACGGTCTGTGAACAAACGCTGAAAATACTGCAAGGCAAGAACATAACACATCATCTTCTGAGTTGGTTCCCAGCTCACCTTGGACAAATTAACGACTCCCCTCCCAATCTCAACGAAGCAGAACACGAGGCGGCGCGAGAACTCTCCAACCGCGCCTTCCCGGGGATGCGTTCTACCGGTGAAGGGGATAACCGGGAAATTCTTACAACATATAACGAGCTCACTAAACATTTCTACCTGTCTAGAAGGATTTTCCCTCCACCTCACAAAAATCTAACCCAGCCCCAAGCACTTACATTAAGGCTTTTGCAAATGCGGATGTACCCTACTTTGAAAATGTTACACATCATGTACCCTGACCTATACCCAAGTAATCTTTGTCCACATTGTGGGGAAATAGCTTCATTAGAACAAATGCTCTGGCAGTGCACCAAATTCGCTCATTTATCGCACATCACCTCTGCCAGATGGGAGGCGGCAATCCGCAGCTCGTCCTTGGCAGATCAGCTCTGGGCTGTCCACCAAGCCCGCGAGGCGGCTGAGGAGCTTGGCATCTCAGTCCCCACGTGGGAGCTGCCCGCAACACAGTGATCTGTGTTTTGGAGGACCAAATAAAAGTTTATCCAATCCAATCCAATCACTCAGGACCGAGAGGATAGCAAACTCGCAGCGTTCAACGGCGGTCGCCGAGTCACTGGTGTAGGCCTAACTCACGTACGAGCCCGTCGGTTGTCGACAACGTCGCTGGAAGCGGCAGTAGTTTTGGAGCTTCAACAGTTAGAGGACTGCAAGTAAAACAGCAGAAGTGAAGCTACGAGAGATAGCAATTTTTGCAACGATGAAACGGAAGTGCAGTCTTATCGCTAAACGCGCCGATGCCGCGGGTCCCCCCCCCCCCCCCCGCCTGACGTGAACTGCAAGACGGGTCGCCAGAGTGGATTTCCCCGCGCGTCGGCAAACAGCAGAAAATCGATCCATTTACAGTGAACGTGTTCACCGCCCCCGCAATGATTCTACTGGCAACAGGTAGAGTGCTTGTAACGGCGCGTCCGCAACGATGAACATATTGCGCCTCAGCCTCCGCTCGAAAATGTGGCTATCTTACATGAAAAGAAAACTAACACTTCCTGCTCTTGGAGCCTTGAAATTGATGAGCGAGTGCACGAGTTCGGTCTGCGACATCAACAACTCAATCTGGACAAGCCGGAAAACTGCTTTATTGTAGGACGGATCGCGGATTACGCGTGCACATTCGTCGCACATAGGCGTCACCGAACTGGTAAGCAGCCTAGTCGGCAGACGAGCCTAAGGCTACCGCATCAGCTCGCAAGTGTGCCTCTACGGAATTCCTGCAGCGGGCATTGAAAAAACGCCATTTAGGTGATGCAAAACAGAAGGACTACATGCCTGGTGCCTACTGAAAAAGCTGAATTTGCAAATCATTGTATATAAACAGCTTTTCCATGCTACTGTCTGCCCAAAATGGACTTGTGTTTGTGCATGATTTGTAAGAATTCAAATTTTGGCTGCACTTGCAAACTTGTCTAAACGATATCTCTGCCTCCAGAGCAGCTAGAACTGTCATTTTTATTGTGACCTGTAGCTGTATCTTTAGTTTACACAATGATAGGTGTGAATTTTTGATTAAGATCTTCAAAAAATTTAAGTTTTGCCAGAAATCGGAACATAAAGTGGGCGTGTCTGCAACACTGAAGTGCAAGGTGCGACCTTGCTAAAATTATCAAATAAAAAAAGCACTCCTACTACCGTTGTGTAGCTTATGTTCATTAGTATGCAGGCATGAGCCAATAGTAGCTCTTCAATACAAATTTCCTGTCTCATTATACCAGCAAACAATAGGTAATCATTTTAGTATATCTCAAAAGCTAATTGGTTTAGAGGAACAGTAATTGCATTTATGAAATCAGCATCAAAAACTCAATCACACTGTGAATTTTCTTCATAAGCACATGAAAATATCTGACCTTTCGTCTCAAGTACAGTGTTTCCCCTTAAGCATGTGATGTCACACATGCCATGGCAAAGTGGTGGTTGGCGGCTGTGGATGCCGTTTATAGCTAGCCACTTTTAGGGCTCATTCTGAAATATTCTTTCTTACAATCCATTTTACATATATGTACAGACACAATAGACCCTCTACGTTTATTTTTCACAGGAAACCACAATTTAGTGGGTGACCGTGTTATGGACCCTTTAGCTCTGCTCAGCGAGCCTGTGCCAAATTAAGCCACACTAAGGCAAGTCATGCCAGATTAAGTGAATCCCATCCACACCCTGAAATGAGTCTGAGCTAAATTTGCCACAAGCTCTCCTGTTCATCCAACCTTACACAAGCTGCCTAAACTTCTTTTGTTAATCAACAATTTGCTAAATAGAAAAGGCCAAACCAAACAACAGTAAAGCGGCAACCCAATGTCAACAGACCTTGCCAGCGCCAGGTGCCATGTTATGCTTCTTTCGACTGAAGCCCTCCACATCTGCCGAGCTGCTGGCCGTGTTAAACTTGGAGCGCTTGCGCTGCCCACCGTAGCCATACTTTTTGTCCTTGTATTGCCGCTTCATCTGTGACCTGGCGTAAACGAGGCAGAAAGAAGATTTCAGCAAGCTTTCAGACTTTCATACAGGGAAAAAAAAGCACACTATTGTCACAAACGTGAAGCAATGAATGCGAGAGCAACAAGCTGGAATGCTATACACTCAAACCTCGTTATAACCGAAGATGAAGGGGAGCCACAATAATTTTGTTATATACATTATTTCATTATATCATAACAGTTTGTAGCAATGTATGCTCAGATGGGCGCACACCTATAAGCATGCAAAGAAGGAAACCGCCTTGCGGCCCGATGTACCGCTACGCAACCACGCGTACGATGGAAAATAAACACAGTCGAACCTCATTAATTAGAACTCACGCTGAGGTCCCATCAAAGCTATGTGTATTCTTATGGGCGAAAACGCCCTGTACCTCGAACGCGCAAGCACTTGCAACGGTTAATTCAAACATACCGCGCTCCGAAGATGCTTCCAGCACAATGCCCAATCTTGTGGCGGCAGCCTCTCAACACTGCGTGCGTAGAAGGAAAACAAGAAAAGAAAAGACTGTGGCGGATTGTTTGCTCTCTCTCAAATGCCGATCTGCACGCGCCTGTGCCACGCTTTTCCCTTTTCCGTCTCTGCACGTAGAGACCCTTCTGCTTTCAAGGCCGCGCGCGGAAAGAGAGGAAAAAAAGAAAGCTGTCGCGGAGAGTCCTTTTTTCTCAGTGCAGAAGGTAGCAGCCAAGACGCAATCATCGCCATCGTCTTTAAGGCGCGGGGAGGGAAATCGCATTGCACCGCGGCGCCCCTTCTCGGTCATGTGACCTGCTGAGCGCTTCCTCAGTCCTCTCCGCTGGCGGTGTGAGGAGGACGGCTCTCTCAGCCGCATGTGGCGTGGCTATAAAGTCGGCGCGGTAGTTTTAAAAGAGCTGTGCCGAACAAGCTTCAAACTCAGCAGAAAACGATGTACTTACACACTGCAGTCGTTTCTTTATAGACTATTTGATAGACTAATTTAGTTGATTATATCCATTTAATGGTCAATTTTACTTCGTTACAACGAGGTTTAAAATGCATGGTTCTCAATGGAGCATTCAAAGGAAATTTCATTTACTTCATTATATGAATTATTTCGTTATATCCCATAATATTATAACGAGGTTCGAGTGTACATTCAAACCTCCGTATAACAAAATATTGGTTATAATGAAGTAAATGAAAAATAGTTTTACAATAGAGATAGTATTAGGAATATACCTTAATAACAAATTTTCGGATATAACGAACTTATTTTCTAAGACGATGAGACTTTGTTATAATAAGGTTTGCGTGTACAATGAAAACTTTTGGCTCGAACACTTTTTGGTTCAAACAGCTCGACATAATACATACGGATAAATTTAACTCTCCAGCCACTTATACAGTCGAATCTCAATAATACGAACTCAAAGGGGCCCGAAAATTTGTTTGAATTAAAAGAAGTTGGAATTAATGAAAGCTAATTGAATGGAGGGCTCACCATGCCGTGGCGCATGTGAATTGAGCTAACACACGCGGGAAAAGTTTCAGAAGACTTGCATTTATTCACAAATCACAGGACATCCATCATTAATTGAAGTAATCGGTGATGCACGTCTGCACACATTTCATTTTCATTTGCTGCCTTGCAGCGAGTCAATCAATTTCGCACACAGCTTGCAAAGCGTTTTTGCTGCGACCTCAGCATTCTCCTGGCATGAGAAGTTGCACACGGCAATGTACAGCACAGACACTCTCTAAAGAACGAATGCGTGGTTGAAGGAAAAGAAAAAGGCACTATCTTCTGCAGCCCTTGAGGGAGCAAGGCTCAGTGCCTTTCTCTAAAGATGACAACAACAAACAACAACTGCATCTCCACTGCTACCCTCTGTGTTGCTGCCGCAGCGTGGCCAGCACGTGACGAGGAAGGAAGAGCATCTCCATGCGGAGCAAAGCTGATTGGCATTTGACAGAGAACCAACACTCCACGGCAGCTTTCTTTCTTTCTTTCTTTTTTTGCTCTTTTTGCACACGTCATTGAAAAGAGAAGGGTATACGTGGCAGGGAACGGGAAATGGGAAAGCGTGGCACCGGCGCATGAGATAGATCCAACACTACACAACTTCTTTTTTGCTTTTTTTCCTCTCCCCCTTCGCATGCGACGTTAAAAGGAGAAGGATCTTTACGTGGCAGGGACAGGAAAAGGGAGAAGTGTGGCACAGGTGCATCGCAGATCAGCATTTGAGAGAGAGCAAACATTACATTGTAGCCTTTTCTTTTTCTTCGCGGGAAGCGTTGAGGTGTCGGAGGTGCCGCCGCGGGATTGGGCGTGGTGCTGAGAGCATTTTCAGAGCGCCTTATGTTCAAATTAACTGTCGCAAGCGCTTGCGCGTTCAAGTTACAGGGCGTTTTCGCCCATTGGAATAGACATAGCGCTTGCGCTGTTCAAGTTACAGGGCGTTTTCGCCCATTAGAATAGACATAGCTTTGACGGGACCTCAGCGCAAGTTCGAATTAACCGGAAGTTCAAATTAAGCGTGTTCGAATGATTGAGATTCGACTGTGGTACAAAGTTCTTGAAGTTCAAAATTCAAAAACTACTAACTGACCTGACGTTTCGGGACTGCTTTAGTCCCTTCTTCAGGGGTGACTGTTTCGCCAGCTCTGAAGCAAGCGACATTTTTGGTGGTGTTGCCCTCTCCCTCGTTCCTCTTCCTGCTGGTTCTGTAGACTGTGAACGTATACACTCAGTAAGGTTCCAGTTGAGCAGTTAATATTTCCAGGTGTTCTTTGGATATGCCAGGACTCTAAGAACTGTCTTTTTGTGTGGCTACCATCTGTGTCGAAGACTCTGGCATCATCAAAATTGGTGCTGTTCGCTGTTTCGCAGAAGCGTTTCGTGCAGCGTTGAAGCTATGCACAGTTGTTTCGATGTTGCCGCATCCTTTTGGGGAAGTTTTCGTCTCACCAATTTAAGTGGAGTGACAATCCGTGCACGGAACCTTGAAGACTAACCAGGGGAATCTTTCTTTTGGTCAACGTGCCGCCGGAGAAAGCACCCCCTCATCTGCCTTCTTCTGCAAAGGGCGACACTAACAATGAAGCCTCTCCCAAACATTCCTACTGCATTTGGGTCCCACACGTTTCTTGAATCAGCAAACAACTGTCTAGGGTATTGGTAAGAAAGGACATCCGGATGGAGCACAAACCTGTTTCAACAATCCGGCGACTCTTGCCGCGACCAAAAGACTGGCTGCCAAAAGAAAGACTCGCCGGACTAATCTATGAGATTCTATGCACAGACTGTCATGCCACTTACATCGATAAGACAAGAAACTTCCCCAAAAGAATACAGCAACATCGAAACGGCATGCAAAGCTTAGCTCTGCCAGAAACGTTCTCAGCGGAACACAGCTAAAAGATGGACTATTGCATCAATTTCGATGATCTCCAGGGTCATCGACATGGAAGGTAGCTAGCCACACAAAAAAGACAGTTCTTAGAGTCCTGGCATATCCATTTACCGCTCAACCAGAACCTGATCGATTGTATACATGCCTGGTCTACAGAACCAGTGGGAAAAACACTGTAGCAACAAGAATGACGGGAAGAAGGATGGTAGAGAGAGGGACACCACCAAAAAAAAAAAAAAAGGTCGCTCGCTTCAGAGCCAGCCAAACAGTCACCCCCGAAAAGAACCGAATGAATCTTGAAACATCGGGTCAGTTTATAGCTTTTATTTACTTTTTTAACTTTAGAAACTTTAGAATACTTCAAACTAACAAGGTTTTACTGTACCATGAAATCGTGAACATATCTACAGACTCTCAGAACTTCGGTTCCTTAAAATCACTGCTGCAGGATTCTGTAGTATATGGGTGCTTGCTTGGGATTTTATGGCATATCAGGAAAGATCTTGAAAGTCACTTGGCCAAAATCGTTGACCAAAGTGACAGTGCAGAAGAACATAACTGTCAACATGGTCATTCCTCATTTCTTCGTGCAGCCCTCCATCTTTTTGTCAACGAACAAGCAGTTTATCTATTGCATAGGATACATCAGGTCAGCTAATGTGTGTCTGGATCATCTACTGCACTCTTCATGACTTGAGGCACAAGACGGGAATGTCTGCACCAATGACTCACTTTGAGGGGCCTTTTCCTCGTCCTGGCTGGTTGCCACCAGCACCCGGTTTCTGGCCTTTCTGTCTCCCACTGTTCTCCAAGAAATCCAGAGAGCCATGGCCTGAAATTGTTAGCAGAAAACAAGGATATTACGTCTAGGTACAATACAAGAATGTCAGCACCATGTCTTGGGTGAAGGGTGTGTGCAAAGCCATTATGCATCGCAACATACCGTAATTACTCGAATCTAACGCGCACCTTTTTTCCGGTTAAGCGAGTTCATAAATTGCATGCGCGTTAGAATCGAGTACGAACAAAAAAATTACGGTCAATCTATTGCCATCGCAAATCCAAAATGGCCGCCCCCTACGTGCGTCGGCTATTTCTGCCTATGTGTTTACCATGTGCGGCACTTCGTACATGTGCTGAGGAGTTCGTCATCTAGTAGTGCATTAGCATCGACGACTTGGAAGGGCCGACTCCAAAAACTCGAGTGCACCACGATGTCGCTTTTAAGAGAAAAGTCATCGCGTGTGCAGAAACGGACGGAAATCGGGCCGCATCGCGGTCCTTCTCGAAACGTGCGTGCGGGACCGGCGGAAACAAAAGCAGAAGATTGTCGACAGCAAAGCTTCACGCAAAGGCTTCAGTGAACCACAGCAGGGTCGGTTTCCGCAAATTGAAGAGCTGCTCCGCGAGTATGTGCTTGAGGAGCGAGCGGCACAGCGGCCCATGACGACAGAACTGCTCCAAGTGCGGGCTATGCAATTAGTCTTAGAAAAAAGTCTAATGCGGAGCCTGTTTAAAGCGAGCAGGTGCTGGCTAATTAACTATATGAAGAGGAAAGGCTCTTCCCTCCGAAGGGGAACATGCATATGCGAAAACTTTTGCGGAGAAGTACGATGAAAAGCTTTACAGTTTTCAGAGGTTCGTCCTAAACTTGCGGCGCAACAACGGCTACCTGCTTGGGCAAATCGGAAATGCCGATCAGACGCCTCTTTACTTCGACATGCCTGGCACCACAACTGTCGAGAAGAAGGGGGCAAAGCAAGTTCGCGTGCTGACATCGGTCCACGGTAAAACTACAGTGACGGCAATGCTCTGTTACACGTCAGATGGGCACAAGCTTCGCCCGTACCTCATATTTAAATGGAAGACAATCCCGAAAGGAATCGTTTTTTCGAGTGGTGTGATCGTGCGGGCCAGCAAAAAAAAATGGGTGCGCGTTGCAATCGATGTCTTACTTTTTTTTTTTTTTTTTTTTCGCGGTGGAAATCGGGTGCGCGTTACAATCGAGGGCGCGGTAGAATCGAGTAAATACGGTAACATTCCGGGGGTGGGGGGCAAGCGAGCACTTGGCTTGAAGTGGTGAGGCAAGTGCCCCTTCTGCACAGATTAGTTTTTCTACATTCAATTTCAATTATAGTAAATGGCACCCTGCCTTTCAGTTATTTTCATCTGTGTTTAATAGTGCACTTAATAAACTGGTAAAGAAATTGTCGACTAGTGCCATGAAATCTTTGTGTCTGACACAATTCCTACAAGACGTAAACTGCAAGCAACTAAGCCACGAATTGACTGCTTGCAACACAGCACTAGCAGAGCACAAGTGCCGGCTCTGCCCTATCATCTTCTAGGGGCTCCTGTTAAAGGTGTAATTTAGGACTAAGCAAAGCACATACTTTGATTACACCTATCTTCAGTTCGAGTCATATTAGCACAATTTTAATTCGAATGCATAGATCAGAGCCTACATCATTTTAGAAGACCAGATTCGTTGTGACATGGTGTGGTTATATATTGAGAAATTGTGTATACCAGTCATCATAAAAAGATTTGATGCCACATTTGAATCCACTAGTACTGCACAATCGGAGAATATGCAGCAATTGAAGATATTCTTTTTTTGTAGCTTGTTAGTGCAACAAGTGCGCAGCATGCAAGCCACGTGCTCGCAAATACCCTTTCATAGAGGAAAACAACAATGTAACTCGCATGCACACCTATTATGCTGATCAGACAATGCTGCAGGTGCTAACACGAAAGTACAGCAGTTGTGTGGCTGCAGTTGAAGAACTCTCCCACTTCCCATTAGTTATTTTTTGTGTATTATTTTATACAGAAAAGCTACTTTATATCACACGTCTATAACAGGTGGATGAGATGATTACGTTGGATCACACACTAACACCTCTGCAATAGAATGACCTACACATGGAATTTCATATGCCTTAAATTCGTATCGACAGTTCCTGGAGACCGAGCGTAGAAGAAAAAAAATAAAGCCCAACATACCTTTCTTGAACTTCTTCAAGTTCTCCATCATCTCGCGCTTCTCTTTCTGCCGCTGCTGCAACACCTCCACTTGAACCTGTGAGCAGAGCCACACTGAAACGTCAGTCAATTAGCACTTGCACGAGATAAATTTAACACCATGACAGAGACTATATAATAACCAGCGCACAGCGTTGTTCAGTAAGCAGCGTAGGTCAGCCCAGCATGAAAGCGGTGAGCTTGTAGAGGACGTCAATACGTTGTCGTGTAACATAAGAAACACTCAGTGGTTGGAATGAGAAGAGGACATTACTGCTGCAATTTTCGGGAGTGCGACAATTACTCGCGGAAAAAAAATTATGTACTTTGTTGGACAATGTGGGGTTGCGAGAATTTTGAAAGTTCAAGGATTACACGAGTAAATACGGTATTTTTGAATCGGATAGAAAATAGCTACAGAACCTGAAAATGTGATTTTCAAAACACCAATTTTATATGCCCCATTAAGAATAAATTAGTACATGAATTGAGATTCTCTTTGGTTATAACCGACACAGAGGTTACATAAAAGTGTATTGTAACAGTACGTGAATATTACATACTGCTGTTACAACAGACCAAAATCCTCTACCCTATGGAGGTCTGTTGTAATGAGGCTATACTACATATCTTTCCATGATATTGATTAAACTTCAGTTGCTAGTGAAATGCCTTTCTATGTTCTTTGCTCCCCAGTGTTGCGGTTTTGGAGAAGCTTTTTTTTTTTTTCAATATGAATTTGCTATAACTTGTCCAACCGTACTTACAGCACTTGAAGCTTAATTAAGAAACAAAATGCATTATTTCTCGTGGCAGCTAATAGCACGTTCCCAATCATAGTAAGCCTTTCTACATGACAGCAGCGTAACGTGACAAAAGCACCTTAAAAATATTTTGCATGCCACAGAACATGGTCACGAAATTTGAAAAGCTCTGTCCATTGTTATTTTCTTTCGAGGTGGCATTACTGGCATTTTTCGAGATATCCATAGCCACGCCTGTACAAATCAGGAGGGGGATTGCTTTTTGGAGTTTCCCAAACAACCCAGGAAATTTGGGGGCCATGTAAATATGTGCAGGGATGCTGTTGAGTGGCTGCTTAGTCAACGAGGGCAGTCCCACTCACCTTTTTGCCAAACTTCTTGAGCTCCCGCATCTTGCGAGCCTTCTCGGAGCGCTCCAGAGCCACCTTCTTGGAGAGCAGCTTCTCGCGCACCTTGGTCATGTGTGTGTCCGCCTTGGCCATCTGGGCAAAGTAGTCCTCGGGCCTCTTTGTCACAACGCCCAACTCATGGAGGCGCGGAATGCCCTCCAGCACAGCTGCCTGAGCTTGCCGATAGCTACATGAAAGAAACAGCAAGGAGACCAATCAGCAGGCAGAATACGTACCTGCCAAATTCAAAAGCTTTGAACACGGGAGATTTTGACGACGGCAAGAGGGGGCACCATGCCGTTTTATTTGCCCCACCCCACCTTTTTTTTTTTTTTCACACCAAAAGAAAAAAAACACCATCACGAAAAAAAAAAAAAAGAAGACGCGGAAAGGGAGGAGGTTCTATAAACATCGGCGCTGCGGGTCTTGTAATGGCTTGGAGTGTCCGAACACATGAGGGTAGGGTTTCCCAACTGCAGTTGAAGGTGCGAGTCTCAAATGGGGTGCGCAAATATTCGTATCTACCGAAATTTCGCATCATCAAAACAACTAGCGAAATCTATTTCTGCCAAAAGAACTCGCGTACGTCTTTCGGAGATACTCGTGAACAAACGGGACGGTGCAGCTGGCTTCCCGGAAAGCACGGGTCGAAGCTTCACTTCAGGCCAACTGGAAACTGAATGCAACGTTACTAGATTATTTAGACAGGAACGCCAAAAAGCTTCCAGCCTTTTTCATGCTTTGTTTTGCATTTACAGCCGTGTGCCCTCGGCTAGTAGCCACTATGGATGAACACGTGGCCACGATCGCGGTATCGCACGCAGCAGTTGCATAAAACGGTAGTTCCGTTTTCGATCCGCGTACGCTGGCTGTGAATGCACCTTCATAACCTATTTGTTTGTTTGTTTTTGCTATGACCACATTTGCCGCGGTTTTGTTCACAGCGTTCGTGCGAGGCAACACCACTATGACTGGTCGAGCATTGAACGAACGTGCGCTTTTGGAGTTCTGTCAGTTACATCGTCAGCATACATGATCGTCTCAAGAGCAATTGTGGTTTCATCTACAGCAGTTGTGGCAAATGATAACCACAAGCCACTGCAGAAGACAGTGCGTGTGCCTGTCGCGCGCATACTTCTGCAGCTTTGAGTACGCTGCTCTGGGTTTTCATTTGACGGTTTTGGTACCCTAAAGTTCACACGCCTCGCCGAGATGAGGAGAAGTGTTCGGTATACAGTCGAGCCCACATATAACGGCCCCACTTAAAATGAACTTTCGCTTAAAATGAACAATATCTGCGTGACCATGAAAATATACATTGGTTCAATGGCATAAAATTGCACTTACAACGAACGTCTCCGAGCGCCGCTGATCGGTGATGGCGAACGAAGTCAGCGGTCTGCCAACTTCCCAGGAAACCAATTTTTACCTTTGATCAGGCATCGGCGAGGTGCCCATACATTCTTATTGCTAAATGCCGATGCTGCCTCCGCGACCCTCTAGTTGCCGCTCTCCCCAACCCATGGAGGAAGGAAAGTTGTTTCCTTCCTTCACGCCCCGACTGCTTTTTGCTACGCACCCCTCCGTCCTTTGTCCCCCCCCGCTACTCTGAGCACCTCGCATCACCAGACGAGGCCCGTGTTTTCACACTGCCACCGATCTTTCGAAGGCCGGTCGGCCATCTACCGTGTTTTTTATCGCTGGTACTGTCGTTGGCGTCGCCGGCCTGGAGTGACCAGACCATTTGCCAACATCGTCAGCCACCGACTTTACCCGATAGTCTGCGTCTAGTGCACGCGCATACGCTACCCCACCGATTCTGATAATTTGCAATTCGTTTCGTGTGTAGGACTTGTTATCGCTCACTTCGCACTCAACTCAGCGTGCCTTCGGTGCGCGTGCGGAAGTGCGAAAACGGCTGTTAATTTGCGCAGAACGAATCGCAAAATATCGAAGTTCGTGAGGCCACGCAAAACTGCCAGCACAACAAAACGATTTTTTCACCACGGCCACCAATTCTACGAGCACCACAGCGCGCACCGATCCAGGCGGCCATGCTTTGACTTCTGCGCGCGCAGGCACTCTTTTCAAGTTTTTTCTATGTGCGAGTTTCGCGGACCTTTCAAGGAAGCTACCCAACCTGCCTCCTTCACGTGTGTTTTGGCTTTCAAGGTCGCCCTCCTGCCGCATCCTTCCCTCTCTTAATCGCAACTTCTTGCCCTTCTCTCGCAAGTCTGCTCTTCTCTTTTCTCTTGATCACAACCCCTTCGCCCGTCTCCACCGCTCTGCGACGCCTGCTACGCTGGCTTGAATAAGTTTCGTTTCCTGATTGGAAATGGGCCCAGAGCTGTTCCACGCGTTTTGGCATGTGTGTCGCGTGTGTGCATCTTGCTCTCGATGTGCGTGTGTGGTCATAATGGCCGAAGGGAGGACTAGCACGCTTTTTCCTGCCGCTCAACAAAACGTCGAAAGTGTGACCGCTTGGCTTGAGCGTAATCCGCACGTTAGGTGCCGCGTTTCGGAGCGCTTGCTCATAGCTGTTGACCACCTAGCAGTCAACTTGCCGCTTCGGGCATCCTGGTATTCAGCTGTAAATATTTCGTGGGCGGCGGTGACGACTACAAGTGCGCGAAACTGTTTTCGCGAGGCCGACTTCGTCGACATCAGGCCCGATGCCGATCTTGAAGCTTCCGAACTGCGGCGGCAATTTGTGGCAGCGCCTGGGGGAGCGGGTGGGACATCTGTTGCGATGGTTTAATTACGGCCAATGATTATCCCGACACTGCGGAACTGTGCACGGATTGGGGCATCGTGAATGAAGTACATGGCGAGACCGATTTGGAGGAATCGAATTGCGAGAACGACAAAACTTTGGAGCCAGTGCCTCATGCAGCTTATGCCACGGACTTCAGTGAACGAGCACACTGCCATTTTAAATGAACTCAAGACTGCCCTCTATCGCTTCTGCACCTCGAAACACGTGCATCACAGACTTTTTTGGACAAAAAAAGTTTGTGTTTTTACTCGCAACTTTTTTTAAAAGCTGTGTTTCATTTACTACGAACTTCGGGATACAGCGAACGGATGCCGCGTCACAATCAGGTTCGTTATAAGCGGGCTCGACTGTATTCAAATTTTAGGCCCATAGAACATAGTGAAATTTGGCTGGAGAATTTAATTCGCGAATTCATATCTGCCAGCTTCCCATCATTGAGATTCTACTGTACGTTTAGATGAACGCCTCCTAAATCCGTTAATAAAATGGGACAGGTCCACAAAAAGCCTGGATCGGATTGGGATGTATTTTTTTCACTGCAGCCAGATCACACAGAATTGCCAGGAGATTTTTCCTGCGAACTGTACAAGCGTAAGAGCTGGTAAAAATCCGGGCAGACTTGGTAGGTATGACAATACGTTCCCATAGTACTTTGAACACACTGGCAACCTATTTCTCTCGACCCACTTTTTTGGAGCACACTCGGAAGCGCACCCTTCATAGTTTTATTGTAGGTGCAGCAGTTGATCTTAAAACCGTGGGCTAATCTTGAAAATCAATATTTTTCGATCTGGAAAGCCCCTTATGTGCACGAAGCCATCCTCCAGACACAATGTGAAGCAATCACAATCCTAATATCCCTCCTCGCACTACACTCAAGGTTCTGCTTTCACAAGATTGAGTGAAACTGTGGTGTACCACCTTGATGTTGACATTCTGAACCGTTTTTGTAAATAAATATCGGGTAGAAAAAGCTTTTCGAAAGCTCATTGTCACATGAGCACCTTTCACCACCTTGCGAGATGGGTACTTCGCTTTGGAATCGCGTTACAGGAGCTCATGGTAAAGGTCGTGAGATGCTCTTCATGTATCTTCAACTTGTACAAAAGCGTCACTAAATCTGAGCTAAGAACGCTCATGAATGCTAATGTTGAGACAATATATATCATGGAACAGCAAATGGCTATGTGCCAAGAAGTGTCTCTCCACTTTTTTTCTTTTTGGCTACAAGGGGTGCCAAAATAATATAGAGCAAGCAAATGATGATTAAATCCATGCTTGATGAGAAAAACAGAATGTGTTTTAGACGACACAACAGTCTTTCCATACGTGGGGTTATCTCGATTCGCGTTCTGAGTGGTTTTCTGTCCCTTCAACAATCTAGAATCCAGCATCACCAATCTAGCCCCGCCGAATGAGCATCACAAGCCCACAGAGTTCACTGGGTTTGCGAAGTCTGCATCCCACATGCAGCCCAAATTGCAGAAATCAATGCTGGAGTCACCAGACAACAATGAACTCATGCCTGTTTACATGAAACACGTGCTACTGAAAGCAAATGACAGAGCTGGAGCTAGTATTTTTTCCATTTGGAAGTCTCCCTGTAATTACAGACTTGCGTTTACCCGTCACTGCGTAGCTGCAATCTCAATACCGAAAACAAATGAACTTTTCCAAGGTGTGGTCATAAAAACATATTCAATGCATTGCCAAACTGTGTGACACTATTTTTAAGGTCCACAACACCAATACCTTTAATTTAGAGCAACAAGTGAAAAATACTTGAACTTAGTGTCAATATTTCTTGAACTTGAGCCAGAACCATCAATTTCGTGTGAGTTTTATTTTTCAGACAACTTTCCGAGTTCTCCGAAAACCGAAAGCAGACCAGAAGTGTCTGTAAGAGAAGCTACAGTGTCACCCAGTGCTAGTACCACTAAGGAAGCAAAAGTTGAGAAAAAGGGACACGACACTCACAATGCCATTTCACGTTTGAAGTCATGGTGCACCGCGTCCTCAGCGGCACCCCTGACCACGTCACCCTTGCGGTTCTTTTTCAGCTCCATGTCGCCAAACTGTTCAGACAGCTCAGGCGTCAGAGGTGCCAAGCCATTAACCATGGTGAGGGTCTCGACCCACTCCAGGTCGAGCTCCATTTCGGCAAGCTTCTGCTTCAGCGCTGCCTGAAATAGTGAAGTCAACAAAAAAAATAGGATAAAGGCAGCCTGTTCCTTTGAGCCTTCCTTGTTCTCCTTTTTTTCTCCTCACTATTTTTTTTTTTCAATTTTTTTCTTTCCCTAAATTAATTATTGTTTCTAGCTCTCCTATCTTTTTCTTTCTCCATCTACATTCCCTGCTTCCTCTTTCTATCCCTTTTATTGATTTTCTTTTTTTTTCTCAGTCATTCCTTTCTTTCTTTTTTTCTCTGTGCTCATCTCGCCAATCTAAGTTACAGCACACGCGGAAAAAACCAGTGCAGGAGCTCAGGGACTGAAGTCGAAGATGAAGAGTACACATCGAGTGCAGAGCGTGTGCCAACTGATAATGATGATAGTTTTTGTACAGGACAGCTTTCATTCCAACACACTAAGATTGCCACGAGGCGAATCTGTGCTTTCAGCCAGTGCCACTCTGGCAACAGAATCTTGTACAGCACTCCAAGATTCAAAGACAACACCAAATTTTTGAGCATGACAACTGGCATGCACAGTTGCTCAAGATAAACACTATGGTTCGCAATGAATCTTCTCACTAAAGAAAATGTTGGCTCATGATCTACACGTTCGAGTCGAAGTTGTTTTGATACAGCCCGAACGGAAGACAACCGACACAAAAGCACATACATTACTTAGCCATAACTTGTTCTGTCTCAATCCACGAATAATACACCTGCTGGCACTATCACACTGCATGTGCTTACCATCTGCAGTCATGCCTGGCACTTGGAATACACTAACACAGTACAATAGCGCCAGCTGGAATACGATTCTAGCACTATGGGGCTACCAGCATAAAGCACAGCTTTATCTCACGACAGTCGAGGCATGTCGCAGTTTGAATGGGCCAAATGCCACATGTTCTGCTCGAGTTTCTTTCTGCAATGATAGTACACATACCCAAGTTGCCAGTTCACCTTCAAGGGCCTATTTGTGTACACCTTCATTCCTGAACACCCCCAGCACTGGGTTTCTCATGATTAATACTGCTGCCATTGCCACTGAAGTCTGTAGCTAGCTTTGCCTGAAAGCGACTGCTCTCAGTTCTTCGAGTGAAACAAAAACTACAAAAAGAGTGTTCTTTGCAGAGGAGAATATTATGACGCAGAAAGCATGTGGAAAAATAACAAAATAAATAAAATATCACTGGCAACATATCTTGAAATTCCTACGCAAGCTCGTTTCGATGTCACTAAGCGGGTTCACCAGCAGATTCAAGAGACTCACGATAAGTTTTTCCAATTCTGACACCACTTAGGCTACACAATCATCAAATCATTTACATTACAAATTAAATAGTGCACCATTTATTAAGGTGGTAGGCCACTCAAAAACAAAAATTTTTTTAAGGGCAGGCAGCATTGAAATAACTTTTTCCTCAAAACGAGCATGTCTCAATTTACCCAGCTATTTACAGTGCAAAATATAGAATATTTATTTATTGGGAGGTATTCTTTGTCAAAAATTTCCTTAAAAGTGCTAGCCACGCCAGCTATGATAAGTGACTAATGGGTGGCTTTATTCAGCAAAGCTTTGACATTTGTGTAACTAATGGCTGTAGCTATGCAATGAACTAGAATAAATATTATGCAGTTCAAGGAAGTAATGCTAAAAAAAACAAGAAAATGGGAGGAAAGAGCCAATTTAGACTGGACCTGTTGGAGAATTCAGCTGTGAACTGAAAAATATTCGATGGATTTGTTTTATTCTAGTTCATTGCACAGATATATATGTTGCAAATAATTGTGCAAAATTTCAGTTCAAAGTATACGCTGAGAAATACGTTATGGAAGTTTTCATCACAACATTTGGAGCAAATTGTTATTTTCAGAAAAACAAAGATTTCAGTACAGTTATTTTCAGTACACAAAGATTTCCGAGCTTGTAAAAAGGGTCACAATCTTCGCATGCAGGCCTAAAAAGCACCGGATTCATAGTTTGGGCCCTTCTGCGGAACATTATTGTCTCCTTTTGTTCGGGTGGCTGCTCGTCTTTTTTTCCTGGCCTGCTTTGTCCCCTCCGCTGACTTGCGTTTAGCATTCTGCATGCAGAGGTTATCCCTGGCGATGCAAGCTTTCATCGTGTGGTACCCTGGTTCTATGCCAGCTTGCCTCAGGATATCTAGGGTGCTTACACTGCCATTATTAAAGTGTGCCACAGCATCATGCAAGGCAAACATTACTGTAGGCAAGCTTACGTAGACCTCTTTGGGTGCCCGCTGCCATATTAGACCATTGAAACACTCATTAGCATTTTGAGTCTTTCCATGAAGGCACTTCATTAGAAGTTCATCAGAGCACAGATCACTGTAGACAGTTTTAACTTTGTTGAGCACGTCATAAAGAAGTCCTCCTTTGGGAACATATTTCCCTTGGCCGAGTGCTTCAACCCTTTGGTATTCGCACCAGCTTTAAGGTCCAAGTGGACATAGGCCATGTCTCGGCTGCTTGTTGGTATAGCTGCAATGAAAAAGACTGGCAAGGGTAGCCTTTTTCATTGCAGAAAGGTTCCCCACATTAGCCCTTATTGCGATGCCATAGTAGTTTTGCAGGCGGTCAATGAGTGCACAGTAAGCTTTCCCTAACCACCGAGTCCACGCACTGTCTTCTTCAGTTTTCTGAGGCGGCACCCAACACGCTTCTAAACATGCCCAATACATTCCAGTTTCTGCCCACTGTCCTTTCCATACATGTCTTTGACAGCGGCATGGCTCTTGGAATCACCATCGCCGTAGTACTGCAGGTACTTCAAATCTCTTTTGCCTTTCGACCTTTCAAATATTCGGTATAGACCAACCGTCTCCATACTGCCAGCACTTCCTTCATGGTTTGCTTGACAGGAAGTGTGGTTTGCCTTCCATTCCTGGTACGAAGCACTACTTTGCCTCAACTTGCTTTTGGTTTTACAAGACTTACACGAACTAGAAAGGGCCTCGACATCAATAACCTTTCCTGTGTCAGCAGAAATCACAGACACACAACCGTTCAAAGATGAATGGCCATGCGCCATCACCTGAAACACCACACTCGGCACTCCCCACAACACGACGAACTTCCACAGCAGCATCAGTCATCGACTTCGACGCCACTTCTGCTGCTGCAGAAAGCCGAGATGACAATTTGTCGTAGGCGGAGTGACGTGGAGGAGCAGGCATGTTCATCACTTTGGAAAAAGTTTTCGCACCAGCATGCCCTTTTCCTAACTGGCGCATTGCGTAAACCAGACGTAAATTGTTCTCATTGGCACGACCCACCTTTATCGACGTATGAAATGGGCGCTTGAACCCACAGTCTGTACACACGACCGCACAAGCCGAGCATATCCCTTGGTGAGAGCGTTCCTCGAGCTTCAGTGTTGTGTTCATGCATTCGGAACATGCCAGCGATGAAAACACTGAAGAAAGAATACCAATGTCCATAATCCTGTTCCCTTGGAGTGCAGAATTCTCTAGTGGAGCCTGGTACGCCTTGTTTATGTCGCCAAGCTTCTTCGCGGTCGCCGAAATACCGGCGTCTGTGTCAGTAGGCGGCCTCGTCGTCATGTAGCGATTTCCAGCAAACTTGCACTTCCTCGTCTTCTGTGTTCTGCACTTCCGCATGCTGGTCGTAATATGGTCCAGGTGGCCTAAGGATACAGCCCTAGTAGCGTTGACACGTGGAACAAATGCAGAACGAAGCCTGACCAAGGCAAACAACAAAAATTCCGACGAGCATCGTGCGTCCCCCTTGTGGCTATTGTTAGAGATTAATGAATACTTTTAAACACAAAGTTGTATTTAATGACATCATCTTATATAACAGTCACAAAAAAATGCATAAAGTATTTTGAATAGCATTAATATAGACAAAACAACACTTGCTTTTGAAAGCAATTTTTCGAAACCGAAACCACAGTTGGAAATGTGGTTTCGGTTTTTTTACAGGAGCATAGGGTATAAAAAACTTGCTGTAATGCGCAAACTAATGACGCTAGGAGGATAATTTTTGTAGCAACACATATGTGTATGTTTGGGCGTGCAAGAAAAACAAGACCCTAAAAATGTATTTCGCAAAAAAAATGACTTTTGAAGGTGGCCTACCACCTTAAGGCAGCTAAAAGCAACTAAATTTACACCCTCTCTCTCGCCACTGCCTTGCCTCAACTCGTGAAACAACCAGGCGTCGCTGGAGCGCAGTGGACCAGTTGCACTCGATCTGAATGCACTCACTAGTGCATGCTCAAGAGACTAAGCACACGGAGTGACAGGGATTAACACTTTTTAATGCAGACAGACAGCGCTCATTGCCCATCTGAGGTACAGTGACGTAGACGACATATCCAATCAGATTGGTCGCTGGTGCAATGTAACGTGGAAAAATGCTAGTGTAGAAGGGAACGAAAAGTTTGTTCAGCTGAGTCACTGCAATCTGTAGCGATTACCATGTTTAGTCTTCCATGAAATGTCAGTGTTGACGCAAACAACTTAAACCTGCTTCACCGACTCAATGTGTTCCCTCAACAACCATTCAAACAATTTCAGAGTCCCTTTAATGCTAGGTATGAACTACATTGTATTTTGCAAAATATCAATAGACTACTGAACTTGTTGAGTACTGAAAGCTTCTGCTAAAACAGTCATTTATTGAGTTTTATGCACTTGGCACGATTTTGAGACTTTTATAAGCACTAAGGTTTTTCAGAATTGAAAGGAAACGCCAAGGTGAGTCACCGATTATGTCATTGACGTCAACACTTAGTGTCATTACCAGATGAGAAAAATGAAAATCAAGGCCTCCTTTTTAAAATCCAAACCAAAATGTCAGCACTTGAGTATTATGAATCAGTCTTTTAATACCTATCAGTCTTTTTAATACCTTAGCCAAACCAGCTCGACGAATTTCCATAAACTTTCTAAGTACGCTTCTGGCTCCCTTAGAACACTCTATACATAATTCTATGGACGAACAATTATTTGGCACAGAGCAAACCTCGTCAGGACTTATGACACCATGGATCGTTTGTCTCCCAATTTCAAAGCAGAACTGCCACTTGCAAGCATGTATGCTTTAAAGCTTTGTGCCACTTTTGTTAGCTTTAATCAATGTGGGGTCTAAGCATGACTCACCACACTCTTGGGGAACGAACACAGCAGACGCTATCGGACCAAACCAAACAAGACATTTATTGAACTATTTCTAGATAGACGATATCGCCAGCCGTATTAATATACATAAGTTGTGATCAACAAGCTAAAACAACCTTAAACAATATTCCACAACACTCAACAACATAACAAACACATGGCAGCATCAGCAACGCTCAACTCACACTGAAGGCCCACGGCAGATGACCCGCGGTGCCGTCCATGGCGGATCTGCCGCAAGAGACAACCGCTCGCTCCAACCGCCCCGACCAAAGAGAACCTCTCATGTTTCATGTGCCGCCAGCCAGCATCGCCACCAGGAGTCACTGCTGGCACTACCGCGCTAACCATGATGATGATAATGGTGTTAAAAGCTCGCGAGCACAACGCCACCTACCGCTCGATGATTGTGAACCCTAACTGCGACCTATGCGCAAAACAATTATGTGTTATGAGGTGAAAACGACTTCACAGGGGGTGTTCGCACCCCACAACAATCATTTAAAAATAAGAAACTCCCTTACTGTGTTGTTGACAAACTCCTTCTTGACATGTGGAGCAATGGCATACAGTCCGGGCTTCAATTCCCCCTTTGCAAGTTTGTCTTGCAACTGCAACAGAAAGGAAGCAATAAACAACGATGACTACAAAAAAATATGCAGAAAGTTTGCGCTAAGTTGCGCAAAGCTTGGCAAAGCAAAGCTGCTTTATGCTCAGCTTGTCGTATTGCAACACTGGCATCGCAACACCATTGGCAATTGCATCTAGCGTGCTTTGCCCAAGAAGCAGCAGCCAAGCGACAGTGAGGAGCAGACCTGAAATATGTGCCAAGCTTGCAACCCTGAATGTGTTGAAATCGCTGTCCCTAAACCATGTCCCTAAACCTCAGCGCACATGTCATTCGCTTCAAATTGCCCGGCCGAGGATTAAGAGAGAGAGAGAGAAGGAATGTAGGAAAGGTAGGGAGGTTAACTAGACTATGCGTCCAGTTTGCTACCCTACACATAGGGAGGGGGAGAGGGGAGTAAAAGAGAGACAGAAGGATAGACACATGTCACATCACACACACAATGCCGAGTTTCACAGGCGGTCCCTCAATGAAGTTGTTGACAAGTATCTCAGGAGGGCTCATGTGGCTTTCCGTGCTGATGTGCTGCGCGACCAGGCTCCTAAGATCTTTGCTTCGTTAAATGGCCGGTCATCGAGTCTATTCAAGGCACACTGGAGAGTCCAGCGATCTTCATCAAATTGGGCACAGTGGCACAAGAGATGTTCAATAGTCGCTATACAGTTGGAGCTTTCACACATGGATGAATCCGCCATGCCAGTGCGATGGCTGGATGACTTAGTAAACGCTACCCCAGTCCACAGCCGGCACAGCATTGTAGCGTCATGTCTAGAAATCTTGATGGCAGTTGTTTCTGAAGTAATTACTTCAGATTTTTGTGGCGTTGATTGGAGTTAGGTGGAGAATTCCAGTGCGCGTCTACTCTTGACAAGGGTATTAACAGTGTGGGTGCTCCATCGTGGGCACATCGGGCAGCGTCGTCAGCGAGGTGGTTACCACTGATGCCACAGTGGCCCGGCAACCATTGTAAAACAATGTCGTGTCCTTGATCAGCAGCGCGATGACAAATTTCATTAATACGATACACCATCTGGTGGTAGTTTCCACGTCGTAGACTTCGCACACATTGAAGGGCTGCCTTGGAGTCACAGAAAATGGCTTATCTACTTGGGGATTCTTGCGTAACAAACTCCACGGCAGCTCGTAGAGCGGCGAGCTTGGATCCTGTAGATGTCGTGACGTGTGATGTCTTGAATTTGACGGTGATTGATCGAGATGGTATGACAAAGGCACCTGTCGAACTTCCAGAGACCGAACCGTCCGTGTAAACATGAATTCGGTTAGCATATGACAAATGCAAAAGGTCCAGTTATTAAGACGACCGCCTTTTCTATGTCTTCTTTGTTCGGACAGCAAAAGACCGGAATGACCTTCCCCATGATGTCGTCACCACTGTATGCTCATCATCATTTTTTGATCGATTGTGTGTCTACTTTTTGTGATAAAAACTTGTGGCAACAAAAAAAATATATGCTAACCCACCCCTTATGTAATACCCCGTCGAGGGGTCTTTAAGGAAAATAAAGTTATGTTACAAGAAACTGTGGCTGCACCTTAGCAGGCAGTGAGCATCTATGGCAGCTGCTATGGCAATAGTGCAGCAGGAGTATTTTGTCAACAGACGTCTTACTGCCAGCTAACACTACTAACACAAAATTTCGAAGGCAAGATAATTTGTGGGATAGATTTCCATGGACACACATGCACAATCTACAAAATATCAATGAATAATTTAACCTACAACAAGTTTCAAAACAATATTAAAGAGCATGTCGCATTACATCATGCTCAATGCACCTTTAATTTTCGTGTAAACAACCAACTGCCCGCTGCATCACGAGTTTGTGTTGGCTGCCACAGTCCTTGTAAGCACTCCCTTCTTGCAACCTTTTCAATAGAGAAAGTTGGCAGCCTTGCGCAGAAATACAAGGGCTGATGCTGATGTCCTTGTTTCAGCTTTGGCGGTGGGTTCACACATGTTTACAATGCCTCACAAGGGATTGTAACAGCACCCAGAAAGCCTTCACTGGAAAGAGTTCTCGGCGCATTGCTCATGGTTTTCGGATTGTATGTATGCTCACACAAAAACCACTCTTGGTCCCACCTCACTCGATGCTCTTTGAAACTTTAACTGCGACTGAGTGCTATAAAATCGTCTCCAAATGGCAAACAAGCTTTCCAACTGTGATAAATGGGTCGTTTGCAACCTATTGCAAAAAAGAAAACAAGGTGAAAATTTTTTGCGACAGTGTTCTCCTTACAACTTCGTTACGAAAAAATTTGACCAGAACCACGAGATGTAGTATCTTGGTGCCATGGCAGCATTATCAGCTAGACCACTTTACAACATAAAAAACAAAGTTGGTGCACAATAAACCCTCTCTCGTTGAGCCTGTCATCAAATTTGATAACACTGAAATTAATGCCTAGATATTACTTTGCTTTACTTCATAAGCTTTTTCAGAAGTTTTATGCATAACTTTGTGATGTTTTTAAGATTTCCATTTTGCAACTAAAAAAGAGACATGGCTCACAGTGCAGGTTTCAATCCAAGCGCTGCGCAGTAGCTTCAACAGAGTGAGTTGAGAGCATGGTATCAGCAAAAGAATTAAACTTCTATCACAACTTTGCAATGTAAAATAATTTTGACACACTGTATTGGTCTCAAAGTGTGCCACTTTCATTTCAAATAGCATAACATGACTACCACCCCTCCTTTTTTTTTTGAAAACTGTTCCAAACATTTCCTTGAAACTGTACGTCGACTGTCATGTAGTACTATACATATTATTACTGCATATGTGATTTGGGTATGAGCCGGTGGGTAGCGGGGAACAGGCAGATTAGAGAAGAGGACGTTCGGCTAGTGTACCTTGTCGCTGTAGCTCTTCGCGCACTATTGCCCTGATAGTAGTGGCAAGGTCGGCAGGCGGGCTTACGTCGACGCTGGCGACCGTTGCGACATTTGCCAGCCTACCGAATTTCGGGGCAATACGACGGGTGTTCAGCTTCTCGAAAGTACGGCAGTGACGCTGGACGGCGGATACGGAAGTGAGGTCTTCCCTGCCTATCAAAAAATTGTAGACGTCCTCTGATATACCCTTCAGAACGTGTCCGACCATGTTCTATTCAGACATATACGAGTCTATGATCTTGCAGAGCATCAGAACCTCCTCTATGTAGGTGGTAAACGTTTCTCCAGGAGTCTGGGCTTTTTGATCCAACGTGCGTTCCACGCTTTTCTTTTTCGAATCAGAGTCGCCGAAGCATTTCTTGAGTTTTTCGGCGAAACGATCCCACATTGTTAAGGAATCTTCGTGGTTTTCGTACCACATCAAGGCGGTTTCCGTGAGAAACAGCGTGACATTTCCCAGTTGGTCGGTGGGATTCCAGCTGTTGTACCGGCTCACCCTTTTGTAATGTGTAAAGCCACGCATCCTCATCTTCCCCTGATTTTCCCGTGAACAGGCGGGGTTCCATATAGCAATACCGATGTGCAGCCGGCACTGACCTTTGCGTGGTTGAGGAGCCGTGACCTTCGCTCTTGTTCATGATGGATGTTGTCGGTGGCAGACCAGCAAAACGACGGCTCCGGCGAAGTTCGAACAGCTGTGGCTCGCTCCGTGGTTCGTTGACGTGCTGTACCCAGCACCTCCACCACTCTGTTACGTTAAGTAATACTGGTAGACTTCAAGGGGTCGAGGCCTATTGTGCTAGCCAAATGTCCTCTTCTCTAATCTGCCTGTTTCCCGCTACCCACCGGCTCATACATAAATCACATATGCAGAAACAATATATTAGCATATGAATTACACGAATTTAACGTTTGAGGGATGGAGCCACAGCCCATCACAAGCCACACAGCAAACCTGCATTCCACATTCACCCAAGTATCACATCTTAAATTTCCTGCCTGCTCTTAAATTTCCTGCCTGATCGCAGCTGTAATACCTAGAATAACAGAATCGCTCTGAATTAATTTTGATGACGAGTTTCCAAACTAAAACACTGCCAACGAGACGCCATACAGGCGTCATGTATGGCGAGGAATCACCTCGACAGACGTAATATAACCTCGCGGAAAAGCAAAGTACTAACCAGGCGTCACACGATGCGAATTGCGTCACGAGTGGCTCATTTAGAGTCTTCTATCACATGTCACCAGCGCCAGCATCAACAAAATGCAGCGGGTACCTTGCTTCTCGGCAGAATGACGAATACTGGTACAGTTGGCACCGCAAAAATTAAGATAATTTAAGGCATAGTGGGCACCTCGCTTGTAGTTACCCACGAGAGTTTCTACAAAGGCCACTCTTCCAGCTTTACATCAGTGGCACATGCCTGCTACGCCATTTCGAGGATCACAAGGCACCTCTACACTCAAATAACTGCTCTCGCGCAGCGCAGTACACGCTGACAAAGCATTCCACTCAAATCGTACAGCCACTGGAGACAATCGGCGTGTGCACGTGTTTTGACAGGGGCAGGCCGCGCTTACCTCTTCGTCGGTGTCGACCGACTCCGAATCGGACATTGCGTCTTTTGGAGAGCAAGAACAGCACAAAGCAAAATCTTTGACGGCAAGAGACGCTGCCGCACAAATCCAAAGTTTTCACCGGCAACAACGCACGTCAAAAGCACATGACCTACTACACTCCTGACCTGCCCAGAGAGCACCTCTTCCAGCGCCCACGTTCTAGTTCAAACCTTCTGCCGCTAGGGCCGTCACCTACGAGCACTGTGGCGCTAGTCAGCACCTGTTCGCTGACGTCAGCTTCAGTGTTCGTGGTCATATTTCGGCCAACAGAGCACTCATATTGCGTAATTATTATGCACTAATGAAAAATAATTTTGAAACAAATATTTCAAAAGTCATTCACAAATTCTTTGCAATTAAATGGACGCAACATCACATATGCTGTCCTACACTATGTAAGTCTACGGATTCTCGCATTTGTCCACCAGTGTGCAATAAATTTTCGTCACACTGAACAGCTTACTTGACCAGTCATCTAAGTGAAAAAATAGTCACATATATGCCGGCTGTTCATCACGGAATGCAGCCGTTCTTACTCTAGCGCCGTCCAAACAGCCGTAAAGTAGCAGACGAACAGGTTATAGGTAGCGCCACCTACGGCGAGCGATTGAACGAGAGCGGGGACACGCGCTCCCATAGGAACCCCGCTATCTGAACAGGTCAGGAGTGTAGTAGGTCATGGTCAAGCACACGCGGCTAATACAACCACCTCAAACATATGCAGATTAACATTAATCCATTATGCAATGTAAACTAGCGCCGTCAAACGTCGAGTCTGAAAAATAATCTGAAAAAAAAAAACTTCTTTTGTATTTTTTAAGACAAGCAACTTTCTAGTATTATCATTGCCCCTGAGACGTAGCAACGTGCGCTGTTTAGTTTTATGGTATCGAAGGCAACGTACTTATATTGTTTACTTTGCTTATGCATTGGCGACGCATGGACTGTAGCAGCGCTAGTGGCGCTGTGGGCAAAAAACCGCGCGTTTCAAGTACGTTCAGTGTTCGTACTCCGTTTTGTGCTGCGCATCATTTTTCCACATCGTTCTCGTCCGATTCGGAAGCCCTCGAGAGCGTTTATTAGATTAACGAGTTTGTCGTTGCCGAGTCCCAAGCTTTGAAGGCCGCCATAAGCGTGCCCAGAGTTTCCCTTCAAAGAATAGGGAGAGGGGGGAAAAGTTCATCGCAATGCTCTCCTCCCTAGTAAGTCAATGGGCATATTTTGCCCCCCCCCCCACTCTTATGCGACTACGGGGGGGGAGGGGCATAGAACACCTGGGGGGGGGGGGGGCGCCCAACAACCTTCCCCTTGAATGGAGCCTTGTGGCTTGATCAAAGTGTGCCTGCATAGCCGAATGCTTTGAGCTTAAAACTCCTCACCTCAGTGTGTTGTCGCGCTCTTCCACTGGCGCTGGTTACGTCGGTCCAGGACTAAACGTGCCAAAACGTGCATATGCCTAGCGGTACAGAGCACCACAAAGCGCCGACCCTTTTAACTGCGCTGACAAATGCGGGCAAAATAAGTCTTTCCCTCTGTTCTTTTGTCTGTGTTTGAAATTAACGGCGACCAATTTAGCCCGGAATGGTACCCACAAAAAGCGATGATTTAAAAACGCTCCGGACATTTGTTAAAGTTGTTTTCGCGCGCGCGCGTGTGCGTGCGTGTGTGTGTGTGTTTTGTCATGCGGACAGTGCTTCACAAACACATGCGCATTAACCACTCAACAATGCTACACCTTGAGCGAACAGAGTGCATCTTTACTTCTAGTCAGCGAGACCACGCTGCTATGCGTGATCGAGCAGTGTACAGTCACCTTGTGCACCCCGTCCTACAAGATATATGTAGTAAATGCCACGAAGCCTACCAAATTAAGCGTATACTGTGTAGTTGTGTGGTTCGCACCAGTCCTGCAAAGCATATCAAAGCGGGCCTACAGCCAAGGGGTCAAGTGGCTTTTAATATTCCCATAGTGTCTCACACAGCTGAGCAGTACTGAACACAGTACGCGCTTAAATATAGTCAGCCTTTAAAAAAAATGTTGAATGTGCTATGTTTAACTCCAATATTTGATTATCTAAAGCTAAATCTAAAGCAGCAACGCTTCCAAAAAGTGCCCCCTGCCACTTCCCCCCACCTGAACACCAGGGGGATCTGGGCCCCCCTTACCACCCAATGATTTCTGCCAAAGCACGGGAGCAAGTTGGAAAGAAGTTTTAAAGGAATACATCTACTTGGGACAGGCAGTAATTTCGAAGCCAAAAATAACTAGAAGAATAAGGACGGGATGGAACACATTCGGCAAGCATTCCCAAATCATGAATGGTAGTCTATCACTATTCCTCAAGAGGAAAGTATATAACAGCCGAATCTTATCTATATTGTTATGGTTAGATTGCATTTAACTATGTTTATTTACAGGAGAGATCAGGCGACGATCGGCGATGATGTCGAACATAAGCCGAACCAACGAACTTCCGCTTCCTCGCCCTTTGTTCCCAAAACATGGCCCGGCTCATACCGTATCGTTCCCCGGTTCACAGACCAAGCCCGCTGGGCAAGGCGAATCATTGGCGTAGTGTGGGATGGAACTGCTTGAGACGAGCTACATGCGCCAACTGTGTTTGGCTTGACCGACGACCAGCTAATGTCAAGCGTGCCACCACGTACGTCAAGTCACTCAGGCGATTTACGATAACGAATGGACCTACATAGTGCGCTAAAAATTTCTGGCATAAGCCACGTTTCAGATGAGGGGTCCACAACCACACGAGGTCCCCTTTTTCGAATGAAACGGTATCGTGGCGTTGAAACGGTATCGTGGAGCGATCTTGCAATGCCAGTGTGCGATATGGGCAATTCGGCGGGCTTCTTCAGCTCGGCACAGTGTTTGAGCAACTGAGTCATCCGTATGGAGCTCGAATAGAAGTATTGTATCGAGGCAGCTGCGCGATTGTCGAGCGTAGAGTAGGTAGAACGGAGTGAAGTACCGTGGTTTGGTGCTTCGCTGTAGTTATAAGCATAGGTGATGAATGGCAAAATGTCATCCCAGTTCCTGTGATTTGAGGATACATACATAGCCAGCATATTAATTAGTAAGCGTGCGGTTTGTGCGTTCCACAAGGCCATTCGTCTGGGGATGATATGGCGTTGAATGCCAAAACTGCGAAGTGCAGAGACGAAGCAATTCCTCTACAGCGTCGGCGACGAACTGGCCACCGCGATCACTGACGATGACACGAGGTGGACCATGGCGAAGAACAATGGATCGTAACAGAAAAGAGGCGACGGAATCCGCTGTGGAAGATGGATATCGCCGCAGTTTCCGCATATCTAGGTAAGGTGATCGACGCATACTATGATCGAGCAGTTGTTGTTGCAAGATCACGGAAACGGTCCTAGCAGGTCGATACCAACTTGTTCGAGAGGTGGGCGGCGTTATAGGGTGAAGGACGCCATGCGGACTGCTTGTAGGACGTTTGTGGCACTGGCATTTGTCGCAACTGGAGACGTATTGCTTAGTATATTGTCGCATGTTAGGCCAGTAGAAGCGCTCTTGAGTTCGATGCAAAGTGCGGATGAATCCAAGATGGCCAGACGTCGGGTCATCATGCATGAAATAGAGGACGTCGTACCGCAGGCTTTGGGGAACCACTAGCAAATACCGTGCACCATTTGCCGAGAAATTGACCTTGTACAACAGTCAATTGCGAAAACAAAAATGACCTCTGTCCTTGGGGCTTTTGACAGTGGCAAATAAAAAGTCTAAAGTCAAGTCATTGCGCTGTTCCCGCTGGAACGTGGTGACATCAGGAAATGCGCGTGAAACAGTTGCAAAGCAGATGTCTAACGTGTCGGTATTGTCGTCATTCGTAGACAATGGAAGGCGAGAAAGACAATCGGCGTCGGTATGACGCCGTTCACTTTTGTATGCAACATTAAAGTCAAATTCTTGGAGGCGTAGAGCCCAGCGTGCAAGGCGTCCAGAAGGGTCTCAGAGAAGTAACGAGCCAGCATAGGGAATGATGGTCTGTTACAATCGTGAAAAGACGCCCATACAGGTAACAACGAAACTTCTGAATGACAAATATGGCTGCCAAGCATTCTTGTCGTGGTCACAGTGTATTTTTTTCCAGCCTTGCTGAGGGAACGACTTGTATAGGCAACGACATGCTCTCTGTCATTATGACGCTGAACAAGAACGCCTCCAATGCCAATACCGCTTGCGTCGCTGCGTACTTCCGTAGGTGCAAATGGGTCAAAATGACGAAGAATTGGCTCTGATGTCAGCAGAAATTTGAGTTGACAGACGCACCGTTATATTCAGATGTCTACTCGAATGCATTGTCTTTTCGCAAGAGACTGGTCAATGAGTACACGATGTCCGCAAATTTCGGCACAAAGCGTCGAAAATAAGAACGTAACCCGAGAAAGCTGCGAAGTTCTTTTACGGACCTGGGTGGCTTAAAGGCGCTGACTGCGTCAATTTTCCGGGGGTCAGGCCTGACCCCATCTTTGTTTACCAAATGGCCAAGGATCAAGGCCTGCCGTTCAACGAACCGACACTTCTTGGAGTTCAAGACCAAGCCAGCCTTTCTCACATAGTCCAGAACGAGGCTCAAACGAATGTTATGTTCTTCGAATGTGCGGCCAAAAAAAAAAAATGACAACGGCGTCCAAATAGCACAAACAGATTTCCCATTTCAGTCCGCGAAAAATCGAGTTCATAAATGTTTCAAAAGTTACTGGGGCATTGCATAGCCCAAATGGCATCACATTGAACTGATATAGCCCATCCGGTGTTACAAATGCAGTTTTCTCCTTGTCAGCAGGGTGCATGGGGATCTGCCAATATCCTGATCGTAGGTCAAGTGAAGAAAAGTATAAAGCAGTATTCAGACAGTCAATTACGTCGTCGATCCGAGGCAGCGGATATACATCCTTTTTAGTCAAGGCATTCAATCGTCTACAATCAAAGCAAAACCTCCAGGAACCATCTTTCTTTCGAACCAAAATCACAGGTGCTGCCCACGGGCTGCACGAATCTTCAATAACGCCCTTCTGCAACATGTCCTGAACTTGTTCAGCTATAACTTTCCGCTCGGATGACGACACCCTGAAAGGCTTTTGCCGAACCGGATGGGCAAAGCCTGTGTCAATGGTATGCTGTGGTCGAGAGCCTGGTAAAGACAGTCGCTTAGCCTTTTCCCCGAAGTCAAACACTGACACAAGTCGTAATAGTTGAACCAATTGTTGTTGTTCGTGTGACCGTAGCGTCTTGCTAACCATGCTCAAAATGTGGGACTCATGGAAGGTACTCCGTTTAGAGGTGCCCACGCGTTTCTCACTTTCCTCGTGGTTGATGGCGACAATAGAATTTTCTGTGACACCATGGAACAGTGCGAGCTTCATTCCTCGAGGAAGGATAATCGACGCAGACAAAAAATTAAACGCCCACAAAAACGCGCAGCCATTAGTAATTGAAATAATCGAATGAGGCACTATTACATCTTTCTTTGCACACTGAACCATGAGAGGTTGAACGACAGCATCAAAGACTGATACTGCAGCTATTGGAGTAGATACGGCTACTGAACTCATAGAACATGGTGGTAATGTCCGCTCTTTGGAAACAATGAGTAAGTCTTCCGGACATGATCGCCTCGATGTACATCGTGCACGTCGCCTGGGACCTGGGCTCTTTGCAGCAGCGTTTGTTCGGCTTGCTTCCTCTTTGCCACGATGTCCCCGAAACACTCCTTGATTTCGGACACGAAGCGTTCCCACGTTGTGAGGACGTCCTCATGGTTCTCATACCATGTGAGCGCCGTGTCCCTCAAAAAGAACACCGCGTTAGTCAACCGAGTTGCCGCGTCCCAAGAGTAGCAGTTGCTCACCCGCTTGTAATGTTTGAGCCACTCGTCTACGTCCTCGCTAGATTTGCCCCCGAAAGGACGGGGCTCTATCAGATGCTGACGCTGTGAAAGACCAGCCGCGGCTGAGGTCGGTGGTAAAGGTGTCGCTGGAACTAGAGGTGCAGTGCCGTCAGCTGCGGGATTCAGGGTTCCGTCTTCACCGTGAAACATCTCGGCCACCAGCGGTAACGGGAGTAGCCCAGCAATGCGGCGGCTTCGGCGTAGCTCAGGTCGTTGCAGAACCGTGTTGCTTGGTTGGGTACCCAGCACCTCCACCATAACACTGTTATGGTTAGATTACGTTTAACTATGTTTGTTTACGGCATTATTTACCAACTATCTTCCTCGTCCTTTGTTCCCAAAACACGGCCCGGCTCATGCCATATCAATATTTACCTATACAGCAGAAACCTGGAGGCTTACAAAGGCGGTTCAAATTAAATTTAGCACGCTGTAGCGAGCGATGGAGAGGAAAATGATTGGTGTAACCTTAAGAGACAGGAAGAGAGCAGAGTGGGTCTGGGAACAAACGGGGGCTAAAAAATATCACAGTTCAATTCAAGGGGCTGGGCACGTAGCGCGTAGGCTGATCATTACGAGTAACTGACTGGATTCCAAGATAGGGCAAACACACAATGGGGAGACAGACTATTAGGTGGGCAGATGAGATTAAGAAGTTTGCAGGTATAATGTGCCAGCAGAAAGCACGGGACTGGGTTTATTGGTGGAACATGGGAGAAGTCTATGCCCTGCAGTGGGCTTATCATTATAAAGACTTCTCCCAGCATATGACATTCATATGGTGCTTTTTTTTACAGTGACAGCCGTTACTGAATCAGAACAAGGGTCACGTGCACTGTAATTGTCCACCGCCCATAACCGTCATTGCACGAAATAAAAAAAACTAAGTAAATAAAAAAAACTCCAAGGACACAACGGGATTCCAACTCTGGTCCCCTGCGTGCAAGCCAGTATTGCACCGCTGTTTGAAACTCCCTTGCAAACTGGCCTTAAGCAGGCTTGATGTCAGTAGAGGAATGGCATTGATAAGAGTAGCAAGGCGTTTTAGAACAACAAAGGAACAACCAGGCCTCACACAATGCTTATTGCCTAAAGAGTGAGTTGTCACGTGCTCCAACCCATTACAAAAACTTCGGGCAGACTGCTTCGTCAACTTAAGTATCAGAAGATTGCACAAATTTTTTGCAAATGTGTAGAGTGCACTTTTCAGAAGAATGACGAAGGATGTCATAGTGAACACCTCTCTACTACACAAAAGTTATGCCTTATGGCGTAGTTGGTACCCTGAAAGTGTGCTTGCAGCAGTTACCCAGTTAGTCTTAAAAGGCTGTGAAAGTCCGCTCTAACAGCTTTCGCCGAGACTGTGCTGCGCATTCAGCGCAGGCCTGACGGTATTTTCTCAAGTAGTTTCAAGCAATGGCGTGGCTCTCTGGTAGAACACCTGCTTGCCATGCCTAGGTACAATTCTTACTCTGACCGAATATTTCAGAAAATTATTCCATCTTCCTCAATTTCTTGGTCCCAGACAACACCGATCTTTTGCCTGCAACTAACAATGCCAGTGCCAAAATTTTCTCAGAACAAGGTTCTTTAATGCTGTCATGTTGAACAGTGTCGCAGCAGCCCAATAAAAGTCATCTGCTACATAAACTATGGTAGTTATTGTAGTGAAGTCGGCCCTCTAGAAACTCAAGGTCTGTGCAATATTGTTTTGAGCAAAAAAAAAAAAAAAAATTCCAGCATCTCTTTGAAGTGAATGATGGTGAGGTGGGCGAAGCTCCGGATGTTTTTCAGTGATACCGTGAATCCTTTGAGCAGCAGCATTCGAGTATGCCTGGTGCCGCGCGCGTTTCCCTGCCGCTTCTTGCCCTCACATTTTGAGGTCCGCTTTCGTTGAGCCAGTTTCGCAGCAGCTTCATTGCCGCGCACTATCTCTGAATACACCTGGCGCCGCACTCGCTTGGTGGCAGCCTCTAAGCCACCAAGTGCGATCAGACACGTACAGCGTCGATCCAGGAGAATGAGAGATAACGGCCGTGCATGCCGGTGCAGCCTCGCACTGCAGCCAATCGGAGAGCAGCGGCACCTCCAATGCCATTAGTGTCCATTCACCCAACTGCCATATTGCACACATTTGTATGGGACAGTGCCATCTAGGAAACTACATGAGAAATGGCGATGACACAGAATGCGTACTGTCAACTTCGCACCGAATTCACAACCACACAGAGGATGAAAAACACATAGAAACCACGGTCTGTGTAGTTGAAACTCTGAGTACGCGTATTTTACTGAAAATGACTCATACAAATGAGTGTTTTTCATGGTCTTCAGCAAGTCAGCCCCCTACACCTGTGAAAAAAAAAAAAAATACTGCATATGGGCTGGCGCTGGCGCAATGACTCTCGCTTACAAGGAAAAAAAAATAAATAAAACTGGCACCAGAAAACATCACCCCAACATCGACAAACAATCCACACTGTGCGAGCCGAACCGCCTTGTGCTTCGCCGGACGGACGGCTTGACAGTGCAGTGGTAGCAGTGGTGGCGCTGCGGTTGCCAGCACCCACGCGCTCGGCGAATGATGGCCCGAGCGGCGAGTTTTGACAGGGGCGCAACTCTGCTACCTAAAGGTAGCATATACAGTAACTCTATACATCTCTACAGGGCAGCCCCATCTATTGTATGATAAGGGAATTGCTACTGGGTACGCAGGAGGGACGAGGAATTGCCCTAAACAATAGGTAGCTTTGCCCCTAAAAGAGAGAGAAGGCTTAGCAGGGAGAGCAAAGGAAATCTTCAAATGTTTGGACAAACAAAATAGAAAGATCAAAATCAATCAATTTATTCAGCTTAAAGTACAATGCACAAAGGTTAAACGCACGCTCGTAACTGTACACTTGAAAAAAAAAAAAAGAACACTATAGCCCTTTTCAAAGTACAATTGCGGAATATAGATACATGTATGCACAGCTGAGGGAATAAGACGCGCTTGTCTCACTCCCTTCCGAGAGGACTTTCAACCTGTTAATCTCACCGTCAAATATGTACGGTCAGTGGTATGGACTAGATGTTCATAAATAAAGCCTACTCGGGCGTCTTGCACTTCCAACACTGCTCTATGCCAAAAAAAACCTCCAAAAAACAAAAACGAGATGCGCGTTCAGCACCGTACCCGTTAGCACTCTGCAAGCGTAGGTCTAAAAAACCTCCCTGATCACACCTGTGACGACGAGGACTTTTAGACTATCAAACAGAGTACATGCACGCGCAGGAACTTTTGTGTACAAAAACCTCAGCCTATCACAACGCAACAATGTTTCCTTTCTTTGCTCTCTTTCGCCAAACTGCTCTGGCAAGACGGAGGGCGAGGCGGGTCAGTCCGTGTCCATTCTATCAGGATCTTCGTTGTCGCCCCTTCTCCTGCAGCTGGGCTCAGGATCCGCTTCGATGACGGCCTGTCAAAGTGTAATCAGACTTTAGTAACTTACTCAGCCCCTAACATGGTTACAGTCAAACACAGATGTAACGAGTTGGTTATAGTAGATGTCAGTAATAGTTCCGGTGCGTGAAATAATCGTCTACGTCCAAATCGACGCACGACAAGAACTTGTGGGTAGGGATGTGCCATGCTGTGAAATCCTGAGCAAGCCCTATTGAAATATTATTGAAATATTATTATGAGATTCGTAGGGAGGCACCATGATCCGTAACGAGTAAAAAAATCAAGACTGGTAGCGGAGGATCAGCTAAGAATAAATGGACAACGATAATTCGAATGAAGTTCTCTATTGCATACCCACGCATTAGGTGTGCCCTCATAAAGTTAATAAGAACAGTTAATGAAATGGTGAAAATGGCGGGAAGGAAAAGTCACATGATTAGTCATTAATGGCCAATGTTTCAATTCTCTGGAAAATGGGAGGAGGCCACTTGCTCTGGATCTTACGGTTGTAAATGTAAGCTCTGAAGCTAACAAGTGATCTTTTTGAATAATTTTCAATCCTATAGCTGAATAGATCTGTGTATTTATCACATATAATAATAAATAAAAATTAACTTATTTGTCATAACTCAATGAAGCAATACTCAGAACAAGACATGTGCAAATGTCCTTCTTCTTGGTTTGAAGTGATGTGGAAACAAGTTTGAAAAGTAGCAAGATTCCAATTTCAGCAGGATACAAGTGATGACCTGCAAAGTATGTTGCATCTCGAAATTTACTGTACTGAAAACATATAAGCCAGCACAACAAGCTTTTAAACTTGAAAGACGGAGGAATCAATGTCAGGGTAATATAATCTGTTCATTAAGCCTTGAAGTCAGGCTTCGTGGCTGCACACAGTTTTCTCGGAAAGGTGTATTCGCGATACAGCACCCCTTCATTACAGCGAAACCACCTTTACAAGTATGTTATTTGCCAACTAAGACATTTATATAATAATACAGTCGTGGACCGATTTTCCGGACATGGCGGGGACCGAAAAAAAGTTCGAAAAATTGAACAGCCTGAAAAATTCATTTTTGTCAGAAATATGAATTTTATTGCAACAGGCAGGCTTTAAAAAGTCCATGATTCTGCCTTGCCTCATACTACGCTTGGAAGCAATTTGGTTCGCCCATATTTGCGCCAAGGTGACATCATCACCGTAAATGCTCGACAAAAGCGTCAACGCGGAGGCAATCTCCGCTGCTGACAGCTGCGGGCAATCGTCGTCATCATCCGAACCATTCTCTGGCTGCGGCACAACGTGGCGAAGAATTTCTTCGTCTCTGAGCTCCGCGCACAAAATTGTCATCATCTGCACGAGCGAAGTCTTTAAATAGAGAGCTTTAGAATAACGTTTGTGGGCGTTGCGGGTATAGCGAATGCATTACGAGTTCTAGAATAGCGTTTGCTCCCCTTAAGGAAAGGTCTAGGGACATTCACCCCGACCGCAATCTCAAATGCATGGAAGCTACACACAACACTTAGCGGGCCGCGATCGCCGCACGCTATTTCGGATTTTCTGCGGGCAGGCCGCGAACGGTGACTCGCGTTACAACGCATGTGCAGTGGCAGCAACCGCACCGTAAGGGCTCGTGGTGCGCTATTCTAAAACTCCCTAATGTCATTGTGGCAGGCACATTCACTCCACTACTGCACAGCTTCGCCTCCTCCCTGTTCGGTGCGATGACGACAGTGCTGACCGAGATGAGAAAATGGTCCCATGCCGCGTTTTCGAAAGCAGACACGACCTCCTAAACTTGAAATGTGACGTTCGCTTTCCAATCTTGGAGGCAGGAAAGCCATTTTAAAATTAGGTCACTAAGCTTAGTCAAGCCGGCAGAAAATCCAACATGGTGGCATCCATACAGGTTCGTGGCATGGCTCAAAACAAGTGATTTAGTCCAAAAAATCCAACTTTAGGGGGCGAATTCGTCCGCAAAATCGGTCGAAAAAATCCATTAGCCCTATGGGAACCCTGACGGTACACTTTTGAAGTCCGAAATATCCAACAAGTCCGAATTTTCGGAATCCGAAAAATCGGTCGGCGACTGTAATACACCTATTCATTAGTTTCTCATACTTTGAAAATCCGAAGAATTCAAAGTAGAAATGAAGTGAATTTAAATACGGTTAATATTTTAGAAAATGTACGAATATTCACACATGTCTACTACACGTGAGCAATCATGGCTAGTCTACGTGAGCAATCATGGCTAGTCTAAAAGGGAAATAGAGTCCATTAAGGACCATTGCTAAAAAAATGCAGAGGCCCATGCTCACAGAAGACACTTCGTAAATTATTTTGATACTAGTTGTTTTTGCTTTGGAATGCAGCAATCACATCTAGGAATCAAACTAGCAACCTGTCTACCCAGCATGGGTACTGTATTTACAGGATTTCAACGTGCACCTGACTTGCATGACCAAGGAACGAAAATACAGCTATGAGGCAGTCGAAGCATCTGTGCCTAAATCTAACATGCATGCGATTTTAAGGTCTATTTAAAAAAAGAAAAGAAATGTGTGCATTAGAATTGGGTAGATACAGTATGCCATGACGCTGCTACAGTGTGTGTGGAATGAACCCTAGTTTCCTGCATTATTTACTAGAGAATACCATGGCGTTGCAATCGTTCAGCCACTGTGGGAATCGGGAATAATGGGTAGAACAGTCACACGCAATATGAAGGTTATCGCGTGAACGTCGACCCACCTAACTTCCCAGGGACCTAGCAGCACATTTTGCAACTGTGAAAATCAATATTGCACATTTTTTCCTTCTTCGTTGCCTGTTCCATGCTACAACCATCACCCCTACAATGAAGTCTACACTTTCTCTCGCTGTTTCGAGCCTTTCATTCGTTGCGATTCAGTGTATCCTTTGTGGGGTCTTACCTCCACAGGTGATTACAAAATTGCTGGGAAAGATGCGTTTAAGCAGGTGCTTTGCACTGCTTCGATTATTCAAGCTTCCTAAGACGATTGCAGTTTCAGAAACAGCAAGGAAAGTGAGTAAAGCTTGCGTGATACAGCCCTCTCCTAAAAAGAGTACCGTATTTACTCGCCTAATGATTGCACTCGCATAATGATCGCACTCGCATAATGATCGCACCCTGAACTTGCCCCATCGACATGTCATGTGCCAAGTCTAGCTGAACGCACTTATCATTGTTTCTGTGATCTGAAAGCGGGCATCAATATGCTAATGCCGTAAATTTACTGATTTAAATGAAAGCATTCCTCATTTAGATGGAAGAAACTGTTTTGACGCACGTGACGTACTCAGAAGAAAAAAATGCGGTGGCTTCGCTCCACGGAGTGCTTCGCTCCGTCAGCTGCCATGTCTGTTTTAACATCCCGCACTGTTACAGCGGCGGCCGCCTGTTGGTCGACCTGTGTTCATCCGCAGCAATGTTTTTTTTTCCTGAGACCTACGTTTTTTTTTTTTGGTGTGCTTTGTGATCAGTCTGTTGAAGCGCCGTTTCACCATGGGACGGTATGCGAGCTATACTGCCGCGTTTCTAAGCTGAAGGCACTTGACTACGCGCTAGAGCATGGCAACCGCAGTTGCCGGCAGACATTTCGGCGTCGACAAAATCCGGATCCGATATTGGAAAAAACAGCGCGACACGCTCATGACAACTAACAGCACGTGATGGGCTTTCCGCGGACCCAAATCTGGCAAGTCCCCTTGAAATTGAAAAAGCAGTCCGCGAGTACATGAAGGACGTGTGCAAGGACAGTTATGCAGTGTCATTAGACAAGATACGGATGCAGGCGTGCAGTTTCCCGGAGGCTGGGAATAGCCACAAAGGACTTCCACGCCAGTTCCGGCTGGACGACACGCTTCATGCGGCGGAATGGACTGTCGCTGGTATTTCCAACGCGCTCGACGGAACAGAAGATGACCCTCTGTGGGACAGTGAAGACACTGCCAGTTCCGACAGGGAATTGTGCGGCGACAACACTGACGGCAGTGATGCTTCGGAGTCTGAATGAACGTTAGGGGGACAGAGAGGTAAAAAATAAAAGGGCAGTGTGCCATGCATGTAGCTCCTGCGTAATGCGTGCATTTTATTACAAAGATAAGCCTTAATTTACTTTTATTTTTGTTTATGTTCATTATAGCTGCCGTAAGAGTTCTGATTAGCGACTTTTTTGGGTTTCCGGTGTTCAGAATATTTTTTCACGGAAAATTACCCTGCGTAATGATTGCATCCCAAAGTTGGAGCTCAATTTTATGAAAAAAAAAAAAAAGTGCGATCATTATGCGAGTATATACGGTATTCTGGGACATGACGCCGTGGCAGGTCTTCGTTGACAATTGCGTGATAACCTTCATGTCACGCCTGACAGTTCATGGATCTGCCCAGTCTTCATGTATGCAGCTTCGAATACACTTGCTTCCTTGTTTATAGTGTTATGACTTTTGTTTTAGATCAAAGAATGGCTCATTGTGAACAGACTAGAATTAGCCAGCCTGAAAGCGTCGACACGATGAAGTGGGACTGCTGAACTGTCTCGCCACAATGCGGCTGCAGGGCACTCGGGGCCAAAAGAACAAAACCTAGGCGAATCCATGTGCTCCCCAAGCTTCCCATGCCAGCTGAAGTGTCACACATTGCAGATCCCATAAACACTAGCGGCAGATTTCCCTCCAGTGTACTACAGCAAAAACTCAGTAATTCTGATTTCATGAGACCGAAAAGGCCGTCCAAATTAACTTAATGATCGAAAGTATCAAGAAAACATGCGACAAAGGCTGCTTTCCTAATGCACTCTTATTTACTTCAGGTATACATTAATTTAGCAATTATTTTGCATAAAAGCACACGGTAAAAGCTGCGATTTTCGTCATCTGCAACTATGGTCACAATATGAATGCGGCTCAAGACACTGTGTTCTGAGCTGAAACACTGCCCCCCCCCCCCTTCCCCCTCTGAACCCATACCTTATTACGTACCAACAACGCGATTGTGGACGGCAACCAAGTCTTTTTCAAAGGCCTAGGCTGTCCGCGAATGTTGTTTTCACTGCTTTGCATCGCATGCTTGTCGCAATACGAAGATCATCCAAGTTAACCGGGTTGTAGCCAAATATGACCAAATTATTGAGTTTGATGCCACTGATCTACGTGTACACTGACCAAGGCCAGATAACACATGCAAATTATCTCATTTTCTTAATTGCCGAATGTTCACTGAATGAGCTTTTACTGTATTACGAAACTCTAAGGCATGAGCTTCTCTTACCCTGCTTTCTTGGTCTTGGAGCATGGAGACGACCGTCTGGAGCTGTTCCAGAGCCCGCTCCTGCTCGCTGTGCTCGTACTCTGCCGTCTTCCTCGGTTTCTCCGGCGAAGCGGGGGCCAACACCGTGAAGCCGGGACCCTTGCGCACCACCGTCCTGCTCGGTTTGGAGACGACACCGGCGGACTTCTCGTCTGAGGAGCTGCCCGCAGTGTTCGAGCTCTCCGCTGGAATAGATGCTCCTTCCGCGGCCACCGTGGATGACACAGAGGCAGCCATTGCCAAAGTGGGCGACGTGGTCGGGCTTTGGTGGTGCTGACCCGTGCTACCGACCTGTCCGCTTGCAATCTTGGCCTCCACGTCTGGGCCGATGGCAAAATGGCCGTACGGCTCGAAGCACAGCTCAAGGCGGTCATGCTTGGCGTTGTACGTGAACACCTGAAAGAGTAATGATGAGTGAAAGCAAACGATAAAGTTCTATGTCCCTAATCAAGCTCCTTGAGTTCAAAAAATAACAATACGCGTGACATAGGAAGAAAACCATAGAAGACTGAACAGGCCTGTGCCCATAAAGGTGAGCAGGCGAGTGCAAAAGAGGCACTTGCCCCACCTCTCAACTAACCTCTGCCGGGGTGCAACACGAGTTTGCCCCCAGCCCCCAAAATGAAATCATGGGGATACCCATGGTGATACCTGTTGCCCAAAAATCACATATATAATGGTGCTGCATCAACTTCAGACGAGCTAGTGTTCCGTTCCCAAGCTTTGTACCAAACTGTGCAAAGACTTCCCTATGCATGCTCAATTATGCCAAAATGCCATAGCCTTCCACTTAGGTTATATAGGGGCCTATTGCTAAGTGGCACCTGAAGGGACCAGGAAAATACAGTCGACTCTCATTAATTCAAACTCGAAGGGACCCCTGGATTTTGTTTGAATTATCAGGCTGTTTGAATTATCAGAAGTTCTCATATATGCGACTCTGGGTAAGGTGACAGCACAAATTATGATCAGACATCTATATTCACACTTTTAAGCATCTCTAGATCCTAACTACAAAAAAACAGAGAGCGGTGCATGTATGGTCAACAAGTTTATTGACTATCTACTGCTGACTAGACCTTTTAAAAAAATCATGGATGGTCAACTGCTTATTTGCCACATGCGCATTTAGCACAAAGCTCTCGATGCCAGTAAGTGCTGCCAGTTGATTCTGAGAGTTTTCTGTTGTTGTCAGAAATTTCTCACTTTAGCAATGTACTGGAAAGCCTGTGCAGTTGTCACATTTTCCACTTCCGGTTCTTCTTCACTTTCACTGCTGTGTTGTGCTGGCAGCACCTCTGCCACCAAGTCATCGAGTGTGTCCTCCCTGCACACGCACAGGTTATCATCAGTAGCTGCATAACTGTCGAGGTCGGCAGCTATGTTGTGCGCTTTTAGAGCAGACAGCACTTGGCTTTCATCGTCGCCCTCAGTCTGCAAGCAGTCAGATGAAGTGGCAATGCTGCAGCCAGGTATGCGGAAGGCATGCTCGAAGCAGTTCCTTATTGTTGCTGATGTGACAGCATTCCATGCGTCAGCGAGCTTGCCCAACGATGAGAGTAGTGTGACACTGTAAGGCATGGAATTGTCCATACATATCAGCATTCTCTTTAGCAGTGTTTTCCGGTAATTAAGCTTCAAGCATTTGATTACCCCTTGATCCAGGGGCTGGAGGACAGCTGTAGTGTTAGGAGGCAGAAATTCAAGGCGAATTGCTTCCAGCCCCTCCACGTCGCCGTGCGCAGGGCAGTTATCAACAATGAGCAAAATTTTCCTTTTCGCTCGCTTCATTTGCCCATCCAGTTTGCGGAGCCAACCCTCGAACAAAGCTTGCGTCATCCAGGCTCGCGTGTTTCCGTCATATGCAACTGGGAGCGTTCGGACGCCTTTAAAGCACCTGGGACGCTTTGACTTGCCCACAACGAAGAGTTCTGGCTTGTGACTTCCGTCCATATTGGCGCAAACCATGACTGTTAACCGTTCTTTGCTCAGCTTTCCGCCAGTGCAACGCCCTCCCTTGCGACACAAGGTTTGATTGGGCAGGCACTTAAAAAACAGCCCCATTTCGTCGGCATTATATACATCAGCCGGGGAGTATTCAAGCAGCAGGCTTTGAAGTCTAGTCTGCCGCCAGTCAGAAGAAACAGCTTCATCGACCACTGCTGCTTCACCACTCACTGTTTTGAAGGAGAGACCGTGGCGTTCCTTGAACCGAGAAATCCAGCCATCGCTGCACTTGAAATCTTCAATTCCCAAGCGCAAGAAAAGTTCTTCAGCTTTCTCTCGTAGGATTGGCCCATTTATCGGTAAATTGGAGCTCCGTGCGCGCTTGAGCCAAAGAAGCACGGCGTTTTCGAGATCCGGGTACGCAGCTTCCCTAAGCCTTTTCCGATCGGGAGCGAAGCGGCTCGCGTTATTCTGCAGCTTGTCTTTGGCTTTCAGAATGGTTGTGAGAGTACTTTTGGTTAGTCCATACTTCAGTGCCACTTCGGTCTTCTTTACCCCAGCGTCGACTTCTTGGATAGCGGCCAATTTCTCTTTTAGGGGTAGTGTCCGATATTTTCCTCGCGGTGACATGGTCGATCGAAAAATGCGCAGCACGTAAGAAAGGCGGGCAGACCTGTACGCATTCTGTTGGCAGGTCACGTGCTTCGGAGTCGGCCGGCGCCACCGGCACGCCGGAAAAGCAGAGATAAGCCGCGAGCCAGCTTCGTAACCACCGGGCCGTTTTTGTTTTTCGTTTTTTTTTTCCACCGCGGCGCGGAATGCTGAGAAATGATTGTGTGGCAAAACCTTTTCCCTTGAAGTTTTAAGGCGCTTATTTTTCAATATCAGACTATTATGATAATCATAAGCACGCAAATTTTCAAATATTGCCGGCAAATCAGCAGAAATTTTCCGGTATGGACAGGCAGAAAGTACGAATTAACCGAATGATGAAGTTTGAATTAAGCGGCTTTTAAATACATTGAAAGCATAGCGAGCCAACCAAAATTTTGAATTTTGTATGAATTAACCGAAAGTTCGAATTATCAGAGTTTGAATTATCGCGAGTCTACTGTATGTAATTTAGAAAGAGTTCTGCTAGCTCAGTGATCAACAATGTTTCAGCATTCAAGTATGACACCAATCCATTTTCTTAACTCCCGCAATAGCATTAAAAAGCTCGTTTCACAGAAATTCCAGAATTGCTGTCGATGGTTGTGAGCTAACAGTCAGCGTTGTTCATGTCTGCTATGGAGTAACACCAGAGCTTGAGACTTTCATGAAAAAGTTCGCACTGCCTACGAATGGCACGTACAGGGAGAAATCTCTATAACACATGTAATATTGTGTGGCAGAGAATCCCACCAGGCATCGGAACATGTCAATTAAGCTAAGAGTGGTTGGTGCAAAGGCGCACTAACTACAACGTGCAAAAGCATAATTAATTGTCATTATCAGCAATGGCATCAACAAAGTGCACCTTAAAGGCACATTGTGGGTACTTCGTCGATTCACAAAAGCGAGAATTACAGAAGTGAGCACTTTGCAACCATACTTGCAGTTGGCATTCTAGGATAGGCCTATGTTACGCACACAGATGCTTCTTTTCTTGCAACAGCATTGAGGTATCCTGCAAGAGAAGAGCCAGGCTAGTGATTTGAAAAGGTGATGCGAACGGGACCTTATCAAGCTCAGTTGCTCCAATTAGGTAGGCAGCTATGCCGTTCAAGAGATTTCCGTTTTCCTAAAAGTCTGCTGCATTACTTGAAGGAGAAGAGCAAGCAGTCACCTTGTCAGGAATGAGTGGCAGATGACAGTGCTTGCCGTCGACAAGGCCCACGTCTCGCTGCATCTGAGCGTAGAACAGGCCTCCGCGGCAGAACAGCCACTCGTTCTCCTGTGCGTACGACCACACCGTCGCCCCTGTCCCTTTCAGGTGGCCCAGCATGGCTCGCAGGCCCGACTCCAAAGACAGGATTTTCTGGGCCTCTGAATAGAAGGTGCACCACATTAGCAATGAGGGCAAAACACTAAAAACGAACAAACATTTTATTCATGTCACACATGTAAAGGTTGTTTCATAACATCTGAGCGCTTGACAATCTTAGAAGTAGTTTCGTGCCATTTGCATCTTAAATTTTGCATTTTCAAGTGCGAGAACCACAACATAATTATCTCCTGGGCTGCATCAATAGTAAAGAGTGGCAGGAATCAGAATAGAAAGAATAGTTCTAGAAACCGGAAACCTTCAGTTTCGGATGTGCCTAGAAGGGGTTGAGAAAACGGTCATAAATTATGAATGCAACGGAAACCTTCAGTTTCGGATGTGCCTAGAAGGGGTTGAGAAAACGGTCATAAATTATGAATGCTTTATTATGTTTTAGAGACAGGGAACTTGAAATGGGCAAAAAAATTTGAAAAAAAAGAAAAAAACCTGTTTCCGGAAAACGTGTTTTTCAGGGCGGTGAGCAACCTTAAAAACATTTGTGGGTGAGACTATAAATCAGACGTACAGTCTCCAGTCTCTATTTAGTGCTGTGCTCCAATGAATCCTGCAGTTTTTAACTAACACACTAAGCAACATAATTTACTGAGTAAATACAAGCTTGAAATTGAAAACAAACAGTAAGGCCTTACACTCACCTTGCAAGTGCTTCACTAGGTCACCTTCCAGAGTGGCAACACTCGTACTGGCTGCATTAAGCGGGCCCCCTGGAAGTCGTGAAACGAAAATTGACCTTTGAATATGTAAGGCTGTGGGAACAGAAATTGAGGCTAACCCCCCTGCCATTGCACGGGCTTTTTCGCCTATTTCTGCCGTTATTGTGTGCAAACAAGACTCTCTTCTTCTCCTGCGGTCCGTCAGTGCTGGAGAGCGGCAGTGGCGTTGACCTCTCTCTCCCGGCATCAGACCGTACCGGTACTCTCGACTTGTGGCGCCGCTCTCAAAATTTCACAAAACGTTCCGTGCGCGCACCCAGCGGGAGGGAGAATCTCTCTTGGACAGCGAAAGATGAGCACGCCTTTTCTTTCCCGTCTGTCGGCTCCTTTATTTTTGAAGCTCGCTCGGACTGAGTTCGCCAACGTTGCCTTGCGCTAGCGGCAAACGCTTACCTTTCAGTTGCCCCTTCTGAACGCTAGGCCGAAGAGCAGTGCGGTGTGTTCTCTAAGGCTGAACCCACGCTAATGGCCGTACTCCTGCGACAGTGTACACTACAAAGCTAACCGTATGATATTTTGGAGAACACACAAAGTTTAAGCTTTAGAGGGCGCTAATATCTTCCGTGCAATACTCTTCGTTATAAATTTAGGTGAATAAGTCTAGAAACACTTTCAAAAATCAGAAATTCAAAGGCTGCTACTCTGCTGCCATTGCAATCGGGTGCCAGTACGAACTCATAACAAAACAGACTCTCAACAATTTCCCAATTCCCAGTGCCGTAAAATCTCACTAAATTAAATTTTCTGGGACCAAAAGAAGGAAATGCTAAATTATTAAAAGTCTCAAGAAAACAATGAAATGTCACGTAGAAGCCGTAAAAGCTGAAATTCTCGCTATCCTGCCAGTTTGTTCACATTATAGTAAGACAAAGAGTGCTTAACAGCGCAAACGACAGGAGGGGATAGAAGAGACGAGTTGGCACTCTGTATCGTCTCTTCTATCCCCTCCTGTCGTTAACGCTGTTGAGCACTTTTTATCACGTCATACCCACACGCCCAATTCTACTGCCTCTTAAATTGCTCACAATGCTACAGTAGTGCAAGGCACTTGTGTCTTTCTCTTAATAAGCCCAAAATGTGCTCTGCACATCTGCCATATTTCGTACCGCCACTCCCAAACCAACACCACTACACACATGTGACAATTCCTTTCGCAGTAAAGTGGTTAGCAACTGACTGTTTGTCTACTGCGATGTGGCAAGCACTTTTTAAGACAGCAGGCAAAATGCGGCAAAAAGCTCTTCATCACCAACAGCTCTCACCCTGCTTCGAGTTTTGTGACAATGTGCATGCATTACATTTAAAAAGAAAAGAAAACTGAGCTACTGAGTGCTGCATCTGCCGCAAACAGACCATGGTCACTAACGCTGCTATCATGGGCAGCGTTCATGCACCTCTGAAGGCATGTGCGCCGCCTTTGCACTAAACATACACAAATATTCAAGCCCTTAAAATATTCAAACAAATAGTACTCAAATTTGTTTCGACAAATTTGTGAGAATTTATTCAATATTTATAAATCAGCAAATAGACATAAACAAACTGCATGTAAACCCCTTTTATTTAGAACAAACGGATGCTACGCCCAGTCAAATAACTGTTGATGGTTCCATTGTAAATGATGCGTCAGTTGTCGCTGATCAGTTTAAGAGATACTTCTGCTCCGTATTTTCTGCTCCCCAACATGAATCACCACATGACAACCTTCTGTCTTCCGAGTTAATAACTTATGAGGGTATATTTTCTTTGCTGCTTAACCTGAAAATTAAATCTTCAGCTGGTCCAGATAATATCCCTAACACATTCTTGCGTAAATATGCCGAACCAGTTGCGCACATTTTAACAAAGGTTTTTCGCCTCTACTTCGAAAATTCTTACATTCCTGATAACTGGCGCATGGCACGTGTAGTACCAGTGTTTCAGAAAGGGGACAGTCTAAACATTGCTAACTACAGGCCTATTTCCTTAACGTGTACGTCATGTAAGCTATTAGAACACATAGTCGCACATTACATCACAACATTTCTTGAAGAAAACTATACAGCACGGATTTAGGAAAAATGATCGACCACAACGCAGCTAGTCAACAATTCATGAGTTTACGTTGTCGCTTGATACGGGGAATCAAATTGATGCTATTTTTTTAGATTTTAGTAAAGCCTTCGATCTTGTCACACATAGCAAACTCATTTCTAAATTACATATTCTAGGTCTACCTGTTAACCTCATTGACTGGATCCATTCTTACCTTCACAATCGCAAGCAGTATGTAAATGACTGCATGTCTGGTATTCTAACTGTATCATCCGGAGTTCCTCAAGGTAGTGTTTTGGGACCTATTCTTTTTCTAGTGTATATAAATGACATTGTTAAATCAATAGACACATCACAAGTCCAAATAAAGCTTTTTCATTTCATTTCATTTATTTTATTTATTGCATCCTTAAAGGCCCGAGGGCATTACATAAGGGGGGGGGGCAAAAAATACGCTCTGAGTGTGTATAATTCAAGTTGAACAAATTATTATAAACAGTACAGTTCTAATATAGTAGTTTGGTCAAAAATTACAACAAAAATGAATCAAATAACACACAAAAGAAACGCTTTGGCTGGGAATTAGAGTACAAACAACTAGGCACAAGTAAATTATACATGCAGTACGCTGGTAGAATATATTTACAGCCACGGGTTAATGGGTGGAATCAAAGTGGGATTCCAATTTTGCGCGGAAAGATGTGCGGTCAGGTGTGGCAACAATGGTGTCAGGAAGGCGATTCCAAAGTGTTATTGCTTGGGGGAAAAAGGAGTCGTTCATTGCGGATGTACGGCCGTTGATTCGTGCAATGGGGTTTGAATGGTTAATGCGGGAAGAAGTTCTGTTTGGGGGCTGTAAAAGTTCGTGTCTTGATTGGGGTCGGAAAAAGAAACTGTGGAGGAGGCATAGGCGCGAGATGAGGCGGCGCGACTCGAGTGATGGCAGTTCAATTGATTGTTTTAGGGCGGTGACGCTGATTTCTCTGGAGTACTGCGAGGTTATAAAGCGGGCAGCGCGGTTTTGAACTGCTTCTAGTTCGCTAACGAGGTATGCTTGGGATGGATTCCAAATGGACGATGCGTATTCGAGCTTTGGCCGTACGTATGTTAAGTATGCTAGTTTTTTAACGTCAGGAGATGCTGATTTGAGGTTACGGCGCAGAAAACCAAGCGTACGCAGAGCGTCTGAGCAGATGGACTGTACGTGCGGTGCAAATGAAAGAGATGGGTACATGTGCACTCCGAGATACTTGTATGACGAAGCCGAATCGAGAGGAAGCGAATTGATAAAGTAGGTATGATGAACAGTGGTGCGTTTACGGGAAAATGACATCGATTTGCATTTGGTTAGATTTAACGGCATTGATGAGTCTTGGCACCATAGCGCAACTGTGTCGAGGTCCTGCTGTAGTTTAGTACTGTTATCAAAGTTGTGAATGGGGGAGTATATGACACAGTCATCTGCAAATAGTCGAAGTTTTGTTTGAATGTTTGTTGGCAGGTCATTTATGAATATTAAAAACAGAAGAGGTGATAAGCCCGCACCCTGAGGGACGCCTGATGATACGTGAGTTTTAGAGGAGTTATGATTATCAGCAGAGGTGAATTGTTTACGGTTGGAGAGAAAGTGTTTAACCCAGGAGACAATATTCTGTGCAATGCCAAGGGAATTAATTTTGCTAAGTAATAAGTTGTGTGGTACGCGATCAAAAGCTTTGGAAAAGTCTAGGAATATGGCATCAATCTGCAGGTAATCATCCATGCTTTTTAGTAGGTCGTGGGTAAACTCGGCTAATTGGGTCTCACATGAGAAGTGCTTTCGGAAACCGTGCTGGTGATTATAGAAGAAATTTATTGATTCAAGGTGAGTCGCGATGTGAGAAGATATAATGTGTTCTAGTAATTTTAGAGGGAATGCTTGTCAGGGAAATAGGGCGGTAGTTTGCTGGATTCGTTCGCTCTCCTGTTTTGAAGACGGCTACTATTCGGCCTATCTAAAAAGTATGCAGATGACTGCATACTTTTTAAAACGATTACTGCTCCGAATGACCAGAAATGCCTGCAATCCAACCTTTGTGCCATTTCTAAGTGGTGTGAAGATTGGTCAATGAAATTAAATAGCGATAAATCAGTTGTCATGCATATAACAAATAAGAAACACCGTTTTAGTTATACGTATTTTCTCAACAACTGTCCATTGACTGAGGTTAATGAATATAAATATTTTGGCGTCAGAATTACAAGCCACCTAACATGGTCAAGCCACATTAATAAAACATGCTCTTTTGCTTCTAGAAAGCTCAGTTTTTTGAGACACAAATTAAAAACAGCGCCTTCGGAAACAAAAATGTTGGCCTACAATGCTTTTATAAGACCAAAGTTAAATTATGCTAGTGTCGTTTGGGACCCACATATAAAGAAAGATGTTAAGAAGCTTGAGGTGGTGCAGTGAAAGGCAGTTTGCTTTATCTTTAATGCGTACCACAGAAATGACTCGCCAACAACAATCATGGCCATTAATGATATCTCTACATTACAATACCGAAGAGCTGTTGCCCGTCTGAAATTTCTACACTCACTTTATTTCCGTGAATTTAACATTTGTCCAGAAACTTATGTAAAAAATCGAATCTCAAGACAAACTCGACACACTCACAGTTACACTCTTGAACCTTACTTCGCACGTACTAATCTTTTCATGAACTCGTTCTTTCCTCGGACGATCAATGATTGGAACGCGTTACCTTTTGAAGCATTCTGTGATAATGAAAATCCTCACTTTGATAACTATGTATCTTTCCGTTTTTAACCGTACAACTCAAGATCTCGGACTGTCTCACGTTGTATATGATTTGCATTCTCCGGTTGCAGTTTGCAATTTCTTGCTGCCATTTAACTTTGTTCAAATGTTATCCTGTGTTCTACTGCCTTAACATGTTTCTATTGCTTGAATTTTCTTTTTATTTAAGTTACATTGTGAATCACTTTTTATTATGCCCCCTGCTTGGTCTTTCGATCGTAGTATTCTGTAAATCAAATAAATAAAAATAATGGTGGTTTAGCTGCAGCCCAATTGTGTTGTACCATGAATACACTTACCCAGGGGAAACCTACACTGCCGCATACGGCCTCACTACAAAGCACAGAGGAAGAAATATTTAACAGCTGAAAGAAACTCTTACTAGATTGGGCGTCTGCAGGCATCCACATAACATCACATAAAATACAAAAATAATAAGCTCTGACGAAGATGTTTCTGTCGGCAGCACCTTGTTATGCAAAGCCACAACTACAAAAAAAAAGGCAGAAAGAAAAAGGAAACGCTACTTGCCAAACGTGCTCCGTGCCCCCATTCCGTGGCTGAGGCAGAGCACGAGCAACACGCGCAACCAGTTGGCTTGCATACTGAAACGGCTGCAACTCCCTTTTCTGCCGCATGACAGTGCCAGTGCGAATTGGCTCTCCGGCAATGTGACATTATATGGTCGCCTCAAGGAGTGCACCACCTAAATGTTTATTCCTCCGTGCTTCCAAGTTAAATGAGCATGTTATCCTCCCATTGATTCATAATTTTTTTGAAGTTTATGAGCTTGTTATACCTGTCTAAGAATAGAAAATTTTAAAATGTAAAGTATTTTGCAGGTCATCACATCCATTCTACTGAAAGTCAAATCTTGCTATTATTCAAAGCTGCTTCCACTTCCTGTGAACCAAAAACAATGAGATGCAGCTGTTTATTTCATGTATAAAAAAATATTGTGCAGGTTAGAAGGGTCATGTCATGCTTTTTTTCTTTATAATATGCAATATATACTATTCAAATTGCATTCGAAATTATTTGAACAAAGCATTATTCGCTTCGAACATAACATTCACTATTGGCACATGCCTACTATGCAAACGGTCGAAAGCGAACCTACAAAGCGGTGCAGCCACTGCGGAGGAAACCTGGCTTGCTAACGCAAAAAAAATGGATGGTGACTAAGCAAGCAGCTCTGAAAGCACATGGAGAAAACAAGACTGCTGCTTCTCACAGTCACAGTTTCTGCAGACGATATTGCAGGGGCTATAGGCATAATCACAGACAGCGCCCATGTTGTTCACGTGCGCCGAGCGATAGTGCAAGCCAAACAGCCGTGTTTGCCACACCGGTAGAAGCCATAGTCACTGATAATGACTGCAAATGGCGACGACTTTTTAAATGCCTGTTGCATACACTGTGGCACATGAGAGGATAAATCTGAACTGGCATAAAGTGTTCTAGCTTTCCTGTCATTACTGTGCTGTTCTCGCTGTTGAAGATGGTGATGTGGATTGTACCACGTCTTTTTGGTTGTGTGCGAATGCAGTTTTTGCGCTTTTTTAAACTTGTGCGAATAGTTAACTTCATGTTCAAAGCAAATTTGAAGCGAATAGTGATTTTGGTGTATGATTTCGAATTGAACTCAGTAGTAGATATATCGCATTATATAAAGAAAAAGGGGCATATCTGCTAAGACCAAACTAACCTGCACAATATTTTTTCAAAAATTAATACATGGCCGGTGCAAATGCCATTTCTTTACATCAAACGAAGTGGAAGCAACATTCAATAGTAGCAGGATTTGACTCTTGGTATAATGCAAGTGATAGTAGTCTGCAAAATATGTTACATTTTATAACTTGCTATACTTAGAGCATATAAGTCAGCATAACGAGCTTTTCAACTGAATTAATGAATCCATGTGAGGGTAGTGTCTTCATTTAACCTTTAAGTGGAGTTTCGCGGCAATGCGGAATTCTTCTAGAAACATGTTTTCACAGCTCAGCATTACTCCACTGAAGAGAAATCACTTTTACAGGCAGTTACATTCAAACTAGTATACACTTTGATGGGTGCTTTGACGGCTTAGCACCCCTCCACTGCAGTGAAACCACCTTTACGAAGTGTTGCGTGCAGACTATTGTGCATCTATTCGTTTGTCTCAAATAATTCCAAATTTTCAATATTAAAATTTTGTTTGAAGCAAATACGAATACTGCAGTTTTCCCTTCTGCATTGCACACTTGCGGTGCTTTAAGTTCCACGTGCTTTGAAGATTACCTGAACTAGTCATGTTGTGGCAAAATACAGCCGAATTAGTTTCATACATTTAACAATGCATAGGACTGATGGGACCAGAAACATCCGAATTATTTCACTTTCTGAGCTTTTTACAGCAACAGAAGACAAGCCCCCAACCCCTGCCCCCATAGTCTTTCGTTTAAAGGGGCCCTGCAATACTTTTTGAGCATGGTCAGAAAACGCTGCCGATCGGTAGTAAAGGCTTCCGAGAAGACTCAAGTCAAATGTAATAGCACAGTACGCAGCCTGGAACTCGCAATAAATGAGTCAGCTAAAAATTGCTTTCTCTTCCCTTGACAAATCACGGAATATTCCCAAAAATCACACGTAGATGACCCATTTAGAGTCAAACCTCGTTAGTGCATACCCGCTTTATGCATACTAACAGTGAAAACGTAGTTGTGACGAATCCCTGACAGAGTCTCATGAAGATAAGCATTCGCGAACCACTCAAGCCATAGTGTTCGGCTTATGCTTACCAGTTAGTGTGTACTAACTGCTTACCGTGATAACATTTTGCGCCACAAAATTTTACTGCCCCCCTGAACTTGCAGATGTCCCATTGCGTGAACAGTTTTCCGTCATGTTAATAAGTGCAAAGTTAAGCCGATAAGTTATTCCGACTACCGCGCGATTGCGGCAATGACATATTGCAAGTAATTATCGGGGAAAAAACGAAGGTGGGGTGGCGACCACCGACAAACGCGGCGGTGTGACTTATTGCCGACAAAAAGCCTCATTACAGTAAGCATCCTCGGTTACATGCTCGGGCACGCGTGTGACGTAGCGTCACTTTAGGCCTACTGCATGCTTTTAGTAGGCGACTACCTGAATGCGCTGGGCCGCCGATCGCTGCTGCTTTGTTGCACGGGACCGTGGTCAAGCGCGCACCGCTTTACAGAAACGCAAGCAGCTCGCTGACGCGAATTTTAGCGTTGCATGTCGCAGGCACTGAGAAACCTTGCTATATTATGGCAACAGGTGCACCTTACAGCAACCGTAGCGCTCTTGTAATCATGCTCAAACGTGCCTCCGTCCGTAGCCGGGACTGCTAGAGCATTGTGGAGAGCGCATTGCTTGCGGAAAGCTGTTCGTCGCACGCCACGTTAACTCGCCAGGCTACTCGCCGCATTGGCAGTCACAATGTGCGCCGAGTGAGCAAAGCGCTGCATGCAATTAACCAAGCGGAAAACGATATTCAACAAATGAAAACTGCATCAGTTTTCGCTAAGAAGAGGACCAAGGTACAACTGTACCACGAACAGCCGATTGTTTCCGTTCTGTCGCTGTACCCCGCTGCATATCCCAAACCCCAGAGTAATTTCCAAATGCTCATCGGAGTCGCCACCACGTTCTATCGGGCAGTTATACGAGAGTCGGCAGCTTTTCTGCCCTTTGGCAAAAAGAAAGAAATGGCTTTGTGGTACGCACTTTAGACAATATTTTCCGTGGCACCGAGTTTCCATTGTTGGCGGCGCCACATGGAAGGATATGCAAATTCGTACCTGGTGCTTAATGTGTAGTGCGTTTAGTGTGTAGTTATGCCGCAGTCCCCGGCAGGTACGTATTTAATGGGGTTTCACTGTATCAGCCATTGCCTGATTTGAACATGGCGCGCTCGGTTGTTAGAGAAATCGCCCCAAGAGGCCGTCACTGTCCACGTGTGCGCGCACGGTCGCACTGAAAAAGTCACGTATCTGATGAAAAAAAAAAAAAAAGAGGAAAAAGTGCTCAAGGTCACAAGGTGCGCGTGACGTTTTGTTTGCCCCTCCCATCCCTTGCTAATTAGCTTCCAGCGCTTTGGTCGAGACGAGAGAAGAGAGAATGTGATTGCGGCATGTGACAAATCTTTGTAACTTCGCTCGTACTGGGCAGGTTCTTAAAACTTTTACTGCGTTGAACTTGTGAGGCAATACGCTTTTCCAGTGAATCAATTCCATGGTTACTGAGAAAAGTGTTTCAGGGTCCCTTTAGCAAGCTTTTGCTAACTCATCAGAAAACTTGTCAGCCTCAAGCAATCAGTACAACAGTCATACCCTGTGCCACACCGCTGACCGAGGGGTCGGTCCCGATGACCTCGACAATGACGCGGTCGCCATGGGAGAGCGACAGGGTGCCGCCATCGGAGGGCTCTGCGAGCACTCGTGGCGGGATGCCGCTCTTGAGTAGCTGCCGCTCGGCAGGGATTCCAAACTCCGCGCTCACCCATGCCTGGAGCTCGGCGAGTGTGATGCCCAAGGCACTGGGCCTCAGCTGACCCTGAAAAACACATAACAGTGAAAATAGGGAGTTGAAAATGCAAGCAACAAGAAACAATGAGGTAGGAGGAGGAAGCACCAGGTTCGGTGCTATGTGGGTCGGTTAAACAAGAGGACCAGTTCACTAGAAGTGCCATCATCATCATTAGCCTGACTACGCCCACTGCAGGGCAAAGGCCTCTTCCATGATTTGCCAATCAACTTGGTCTTGTGCTTTCTGGTGCCACGTTATACCTGCGACCTCTTTAATATCATCCGTCCCTCTAACTGTCTCCCATTTGTGCATTTGCCTTCTCAGGTTACATTTCAGGAATTCAGTCGGTTACATTTAAAGGGTGGTGGCATCAAATTTTGAGCCTAAAACAAGCCTCTTGTGGGTTTCCTCTGTACGCTAGAACACTCCACACGAACGACCAGACACAGCAAACGTTTGAAACATACCTAAATTCACCTCCAAAGTGTACCTAAATGCTCATTCACCCGATCGAAGTCCATTGCAAGTGCGTCCAGAACTGTTGTAGCTCTGCAAGAAGCGGGACGAAAGTTGCAGTGCCGCCACACCAGATCTCTAGTGAGCGTAAGCGTGTGCAAGTTTCCCCTTCACAGGGAACAAAGGTTCATCACAGCGCACCCCTTCTCAAGTCACAGCTCCCCCTCCCTATTAGGTCAATGTGTGCGACTGCGTTTGCACCCCCTTCTCGTAGGTGACTACGGGAGTGGCCACCCCCCTGCTCCTCTCCTGTGCGCGTGGCTATTGTAGTGAGGTGAATGCCCTTCGGAGACTACCGCCACATACGTACCGGGCATGGCAAAACATCACAGCTGCTGCACGTCACTATTGCTGGTGCTTGTTCGGCACGTGTGCGTGAGAAAGCCCATGAGAGCAGACGATTATAAGCACGACGTGAGTCACAGTCTTGTGTGGCCACCTGACCAAGCTACACTTCTGCGTCACAGCCCAATTCGGCGCTCAAAAACTGAAACCGAAAACTGTCCACATAAAAAAGGCGATATTTAGCGAGAATAATTGAACCTTGGTGCGTGTATCATGCTTCCTGGAACTATAAGAAATGCTTGCAGCAAAGAACGCACAAGCCACAAAGATGGTGGCACCACCTTTTAATGACCACTGGTTATCCTGCCTATGCATTACGTGCCCAGACCATCTCCATTTGTTCTTCTTGATTTCAACTATGATATTGCTACGATACTGAGGGGACGCGTGGAAGAAGACGAGAACGAGGTTGGCACGAGTGGTGATCTGCCAGATCCCTGGACTCTCGTATTCATCATCGCTTGTAAATAAAGGCATCTCACCCTAACCAGATTGGTGGAAGATGCGGGGTACAGCGGAGCGATCCCAGGCGAACGATCACGGAAGCTCTACCTAAAGAACTGCGCTGAAGCCGCTGACTGGCCGGTCTACCACCGCTCTCTATGGATACGATTGCTGACGGCGACACCACGCACTCTTTGTCTGGTGCTACGTGGCCCCGACACATGGTACCACGAAGCTTCTCTGGGAGGGTCGGAGAAGATATCGACAAATGGCTGAAACACTTCAACCGTGTGAGTAAATACAATTGTTAAGATGTGGCCTTCCGGTTGTCCAACGTCACATTGTTTCTTCAAGGGACGGCGTTGGTGTGGTTTGAAAACCATGAAGAAACAATAACGACCTGGGAAGCGTTTGAGAAAGAAATAGCGAGCTGCTTCAGGGACCCAGTGATGAAGAAGAAGCGCGCTTAGCAAACTTTGATGCAGCATGCTCAAGTCCCTGGTGAAACATGCACAACGTATAGTAAAGAGATTCTAAAATTGTGCGTCTGTAGACCCACGCATGAAAGAAGATGACAAGGTTGGGGATCTCCTCAAAGGGGTTGCTGAGGATGTCTACAATTTCCTCATTGGCAAAGACACCTTGGCATCTGTAGCGGACGTAATCCAACACTGCCGCACGTTTGAGACCCTGAAGGCTAGGCGCATCACTCCCAAATTTGGTAGACTTGCGAACGTCACCACCGTTCCAAGTGTTGACGTCGCTCCAACATAATCCTGTGATCTTGCCTCAATGATCAGGCAAATTGTACGCGAAGAACTTGGACGACGTGATGCTGTCAACCCCCCGAGGGCGCATGCTAGCAACGCCTCCCCGCCATACGACGCAATGTGTGCTGCCGTTGATGCCACGCTATATGATGTGCCCCGATCAAGAGCCCCAGAGCCCCCATCCGACAACCTACATCATCGCCGCGATTTCCAGAACGCCTCCCGCCAACCACCTACAATGGTGTCTTCTTGGGACGATCATGGATACATGGCGCCTCGTGGAAGGTTTGGCGATGTGCGTGAGGCCCATGTGCTCTAACTGCGGTTTCCGTGGACATGTGGCTCGATTCTGTGGTCAGAGGCGTCGCTCCCAGCAGCGCTACTATGAGAGGTCATCAGCTTCTTCTCAAAAAAACCGCTGGCGGGGTGGTATGCGCTCGATGCGGGACGCGTGCGTTGGGGACGGCTTCCAGCAAACCATTCACAGTGATACACATGTGGGACGCAATTTCTACCGGAATTTACGCAACGACTTGCCTTTCTCCGTACGAAGCTTGACCCCTCCGCAACACGCCGGTTCCATTCACCATCTCCTTGTCGACGCGTCAACTTCCCATCTTCGGGAAACTAGATGGTGCGGCCAATGGAGGCGAGGTCGCCGAACATTTTTCACTACATCTACCTATGCCTCCTCTCGTTTTTATGACACAAAATAAGGTCCCCGTGCCTATTGATGGACTTCCTACGATGGCTTTGATAGATACTGGAGCAGCTGTTTCAGTGATGAGTCTTAACTTCAAATTGCGGCTAGGACATAAAGTGATGCTTCACTGGGACAGTTGTGCATCATTTCGTGCAGTGAGTGGGGAGACGCTGAGCCCGATCAGTGTGTGTGTTGTTAATGTCACTTTGGGAGACAAGGTGTTCGAGGCTGAATTCGCTGTCCTGACCAGCTCCACCCATGACATCATCTTGGGGATCGATTTTCTACGCGGGTGCGGTGCTACTGTAGATTGCGGTGTTGGCGAGATCATGCTATCGACTTTTACTGATGATCCCAGGCACTGTGAAGAATCTATCACCGTCATTGAGGATGTTGTCTTGCCGCCCAACTCAAAGAACGAACGCGTTGACGCCTCTGCCTCTGACGCCGGCACGTTTGATGTTCTTGTGGAGCGCATTCCTCTCAATTGCGCCAAGAAAAATGTGCTCGTTCCGCATTGTGTTCTGTCAATCAGTGATAGGCGATCGGCCTTATGGGTGTCGAACTATTTAAATGAACCTGTCATGCTACCCTGCGGATCGCGACTCGCCCTCTTCGCACAAAATGCGAACAGTTTTATAGCATCTTTAAGCGACGAGAGCGTAGATCCTATTCGTGCAACGCACTATACAGAAGCCAGCTTTCTGAGTTTGGTAAACAAGTCGCTATCATCAGAAACCGTCAAGCTTTGGTCGAAGTCCTTGCGCAGCACGCTACTATATTTGACTTTGTGCAGAATGAAGAGCAAATAAGTGTACCCGAGTCGCATACTTGCCACGGGATTGACACAGGATCCGCTCACCCCATCAGGCAGAAACCATATCGTGTCTTATCTCCGGAGCGCACGGCCATTGCTCAACAGGTAGAACAGATGTTAAAGAAAAGGGTCATCCAAGAGTCGTGTAGCCCTTGGGCTGCCCCTGTAATTCTTGTCCGAAAGAAGGATGGTACATGGCGATTCTGCATGGACTACAGATGGCTCAACTCTGTTACTAACAAGGATGTCTACCTGCTTCCCAGGACTGATGACGTCATAGATTGTTTACATTCGGCCTCGTACTTCTCTTCCATAGGTTTGAGAACTGGTTATTGGCAAATCCCCATGCACCGGAATGACAAAGAGAAAATGGCCTTCATAACCCCACATGGTATATTTGAATTCAATGTAATGCCTTTTGGCCTATGCAATGCTCCAGCCACGTTTGACCGCTTCATAGACTCTATATTATGTGGACTAAAGTGGGAAGTTTGTCTTTGCTACTGGAGGACATTATAATTTTTGGCCGTACATTCGATGAGCACAACCATCATCTAGACATTGTTCTCACCTGCCTTGAGAAAGCTGAGCTCACCCTGGGCAGTCGTGAGACTCGTTTTCGGTCACCTGGTGGACAAGCATGGCGTTTGACCCGACCCCCAGAAAGTTGCTCCAGTCAGCAGCTTCAAACAACCTCAGTCGGTACGAGAGTTGCGAAGCTTTTTGGGCCTATGCTCGTACATCCGTCGCTTCGTGCCCAAGTTCGCCAACCTCGCTTACCCTTTGACGTCCCTACTCAACAAGAACGCACCTTTTCGGTGGTCAGCGGAATGCGAGTCGTCTTTTTCGCAACTCAAGTTTGTTCTTATGTCAGGACCCGTACTTCGCCACTATGACCCATCTGCTGCCACAGAAGTTCATACCGACGCCAGTGGTGTAGGTATTGGTGCCGTCTTGGTCCAACGCCATGGAGCTGCTGAACACGTCGTTGCCTATGCCAGTCACTGTTTAAGTAAACTGGAGCGAAACCATACTGTCACAGAGCAGGAATGTCTCGCGGTCATATTCGCCGTGCACAAGTTTCGCCCTTATATCTATGGACGCCGATTGTCGATTGTCACAGACCACCATTCTTTATGTTGGCTCTCTGAACTAAGGGACCCATCTGGTCGTCTTGCTCGTTGGGCGTTTCGATTGCAAAAACAAGACTTTGAAGTCTGTTACAAGAGCGGCCGTTGTGATGCCGACGCCGATTGCCTTTCACGGCTTCCCCTTCCGACAACCGAGTGTGACGCTGACAACTTAGATGAATATTTGGCAGTAGTGGATACTCCGTTTCCTGACCTAACAACTTTTCGAGCAGAGCAACGCAGTGACAACAGTCTCGCTTCTTTCTTTATTTCCGGAACGAACAGTCAACGTGGGTTTGTCGTAAAGAATGGCATTCTTTAAAAAAAGAATTATTCTGGCGTAGGCCCTTGCCTACTTCTAGTCGTGCCTACAAGTCTGCGACAACACGCACTTCGGGCAATGCACGACAACCCAACATCTGGCCATATGGTTTTTTCTAGGACATTTTATCGCACGCAAGAACGCTTCCTCTGGCCGAAGATGCGTAAAAGTGTGACTGCATACGTTGCGAGCTGTGAGCAATGTCAACGCCACAAGCTTCTTACAACTCAGCCAGCCGGACTGCTCCATCCCATAGTACCCCCGGGTTCACCATTTAACGTCGTCAATGTTGACCTGCTCCGCCCTTTTCCACGATCAACGAATGGCAACCGATGGATTATTGTGGGCATTGATCACCTCACACACTACGTGGAAACTGCAGCGATTCCTGCGGCAATAGCCACTCAAGTTTCACAGTTCATGCTTTCACATGTTATATTACGCCATGGATCCCCCCGTGTCATCATCAGTGATCGCGGGCGGCAATTTGTAGTCGTGTAGTTGAAAACCTCCTTCGTCTTGCTTCGTGCCATTTCCGTCACACTACCCCGTATCACCCGCAGGCTAATGATTTGACGAAACGAATAGGACTCTCGTAAACATGATTTCCATGCATGTTGATTCCGGACACAAAACATGGGACGTGATCTTGCCATTTATAACTTTCGCCAACAACACTGCACAGCCCGAAACATCAGGATACAGTCCATTTTATCTGCTCTGCGCAAGCCAACCATGCACAGCTCTTGACACTATTCTTTTGTTTTCAGAGACTGATCAACCTACTCTCGTCGAAACCATTCGTTGCGCAGAAGAGGCCCGGTGCATCGCCTGTCTTCGAACTTTCATCTCCCAGAAACGCTCTAAGAACCATTACAACAGAAGTCACCGGCACGTATTGTTTGAGAAAGGGGGTTTGGTGTAGCTTTGGACGCCGCTTCGCAAGTGCGGCCTCTGCCAAAAGTTTTTGGCCAACACTGGTTCGTTTGTTGTCCTCGAACGTCTCATTGATGTCACGTACACGATATCTCAGCTGTTGTCAACTGGCCGCTGCTCAAGCAAGACCAACGTCGTTCATGTTGCCCATTTAAAACGCTATCATCATCGCAACGAAGCCTAACTCGCCCTGTGGGCATCGTCTGAAAAGGGGAAATTGCTGCAATACTGAGGGGACGCGTGGAAGAAGAGGAGAACCAGGTTGGCACGAGCAGTGATCTGGCAGATCCCTGGCCTCTCGAATTCATCATCTCTTGTAAATAAAGGTTGATTGATTGATTGATATGTGGGGTTTAACGTCCCAAAACCACTATATGATTATGAGAGACGCCGTAGTGGAGGGCTCCGGAAATTTAGACCACCTGGGGTTCTTTAACGTGCACCCAAATCTGAGCACACGGGCCTACAACATTTCCGCCTCCATCGGAAATGCAGCCGCCGCAGCCGGGATTCGAACCCGCACCCTGCGGGTCAGCAGCCGAGTACCTTAGCCACTAGACCACCGCGGCGGGGCCTTGTAAATAAAGGTATCTCACCGTAACAATATCCTTAACCCCGGTTTGTTCCCTTACCCACTCTGTTCTCTTCTTATCTTTTAAGGTTACACCAATCATTTTCCTATCGCTCGCTGTGTTGTTTTCAATTCAAGCTGAACCCTTTTTCTAAGCCTCTGGCTTTCTGCTTCGTAGTTAAGTATCGGCAAGATGCAGCTCTTATATACCTTGAGTGTTATATAGCTTAAGCATGGCACTTCATTTTTTGAAGCATATATTTTTATTGCAAAAGCAATTACACTCTGCGACTGTTTTACTGGACATGTTTGTTTATTCGTACATCATCACGGCCCTGCCACTTGCCACCACTGAACCTAATGTTAATACGCGACCCAAAATTTAGATGACCCACATGGCGTACGCACCGCAGCGCGCCGTTTGTTTTAGCGCTGCGGTGCGTACGCCATGACATGCTGTCAGTGAAGTTTACAATACGTTTACTAGGTTGCCAGCACTGAAATGTTGAACTAGCTATGAATTAATGTCAAAAGCCAGTGCCAAAACGCAAGCAGGATTGCCGATCTCAAAGGCTATGTTTGGCGCCACGTCCTTTTGGCTTTAGCCAGTCACGTGTTCATTGAATGCCTATTGCAGCCAAGCCAAACCAAGTAGTATAGTAACATCAATAACATGACGCCACTTGCAAAGCCTGCTATCAATTGCTACTCAAGCGAGAAGAAATGCCCTGCCAATCTTGAGGGAGCACGAAGAAACCGGGAGGGGGGGGGGGGGGAAGAGACACATGTCGATCACGCAGTTGTGCCCCCCTTTGACTGTAAGAGAGCGGTTGTGATCGCTGGTGTGCATGGTCTCGGCAGACATAAACAGACAGCTCACATACCCTTCTACGTGCTGGGCTTTCAATGCGAAGAGACTGTGTGGAAACCACAGCTCTCCTTGGAGTGGCCATTTGCTCTTTCACCGTTTCGATGAGTTACGCTAAACTGTATCCAAAAAGCTAGCTTCCAGCCTCACTTCGCATAACATTACTATTTGTTGCTGTCGCATTCACTGCTTCGCCCTTGAGGTGAAACCGAGTTTTCGTATGACAAATTTTCTGTGGCGACGTAAATGCTGTATTACCCACATGACCAACCACTATCCTCCCCCCTACAGCTCCTATAAAGTGAACTTCATCACTTCAGAGAGCTTTGAACAAGCAAAAATAATTAATTCCTATGTAAAACTTTAAAAGAGCAACGAAGTACAACTAGCCAGCTTGCCCTATTGGCGCAAGGCTGGAGTAAAAGCAGAGCTTGTCACTGACTTAGATAACTAGCAAACTCTTATTCAGCATAGTGTTAATATGGAAGGTCTTTCTTTCTCAGTTTCTCTCTACTTCTTTTTCTTTGATTTATCTGTACTGTATTTTTTTTTTCAGGAGGCCCATGCATTTAAGAATTAAGGGGGCAGACTGGGACCAGAAAGTGACAAAGAAATTCATTGTTTAAAATTGACATATTTGGTTTCTGCAAGTATTTTCTATCTCTCTGCAAATTTTCACACACCAGGAAGTGGTAACTTTTTGTAATGTCCTTCTATTTGTCTAGATACTTGGTGCTGCCAACATGCAGAAGCTGCAAAAAAATGGGGAACCGACTTCGAGGCTTCTATATAATTTGCCGGCACCTTTGTCCGAAGCTCTACTACCAATTTATGAGCACCTTTATGATAATCGCAAAACATGCGCACCATGATTGTTGCTTTTTAAAGAAGCTGTGTGTTTTCAGTTTTTTCCATTTTTCTCAAAAAAGCAAACTTATGACTGTTCAATTTTGAGGCCTCAATATCTCTGCGGCTGGGGCAGGTATAACAATAATCCTTTTTGCAATGGAAACCTGTATGTGTGTAGAATGCAGGTATGGGAGCAGAATTTAAAGCACAAGGCTTTTTAATTAATTATTCATCAAAATTGTAACACAATTCCAACTGCTTTTTAAAATGAATACATAGTTCGTTTTGCTAAAAAATAACCAAGGAAGGCCTAAAAACAAGAACCTTTTGCATACTTTCTATCTATAGCCATTAGTATATGATGGAATATCTTAAATATCACTTTAATTGTGCACTTTTTTGTCTATGGCGGCCTTAAATAAAAGGGGGTGAACTTAAGTTATCTCAGGAACAAGATGAGTTACAGGAAAACTAATTACATATTTGAAATCAGCAGAAGAAACTGCACAATGCTGTGCAGTTTGATCAAGATCTCTGAAGAAATAAACAAAAAAATGTCTAAGACTAGTCTGCCTGCCCCCTTAAAGAAACACACTTATTGCACATCTCTTGTATCAGCCTCAATGAATTCACTGACCACAAGCCTTATATTGCATCAAAAATTGCCAGGCGATACAGAAAAATGCATTAGTATACCAAACCTAATTTCTCTAATGTATGCAGCCAAATGCAAACTGTCTTCATTTACAGTGAATCCTCAGATGAAGAAGACGACAAACAGAGCATGTGCCGGCCGAATTGTTGCATTACACACGCCACGAGCAGCTTAATTCTCTGGTCATGCGAAAACTGTAAAACGAAAAGCTCAAGCATCAAATAAAATTCGATGAAGCTGACACTACAGACATGACTGTGAAAATACTTAAATGACCCCCCCCCTTCTAAAAAAAAAAAAAGATGTACAAGTGACGCACCTGCCGCCCATCGGAAGTGACCACGCGCACGAAGTTAGGCCGTTCCACAACCGTAGGCTGTGCCATGGAGAGCGAAGCGTTGGACACAACAGAAATTGGCGACGTGGCCGACGCAGCAGACACGGCCGACTGGCGGTCTCTCTCGGGCGACCCGTGTTTCCTCCTGGACGTGGTGGCATGACCCTGTATTCGCTCGAGAAGCCTGCGCTCCGTCTCGCTGACACCCAGCTCTTCTTTGTGCAGCGTCTGGAAGGGCAAGGCACAAAGAAGGCAGCCAACTTGTAAACAGGATCAGAAATCACAATCATAAATATGTTCTTGGTTTCCCACGATGGTGTTGGGGGTCGTTCATGCCAAAAACTGCCCTATACAGCTTAAATGTGCCTGATGGCCCTCCTACGGCAGCAGTAGAACTACAACTACCATACATACACATGCTCAGCATATATCCAACATAATACTTTATTTCTGTACATATAAAAAAGTGCGAAACGCTGAGAAACACTTTGTTTTCTCACAAGCACATGGTATTTATAAACAAAATAGAAATCTAGTACATTTTGTGGGGGGAAGTGTCAGAATACATTGTTATACATAAGAAAAGTGGTATTTGCAACACTAGGAAAAGCACTACAATAAACGTAGCAATGATACACAACATAATGAAACACCAGACTGAGACACTGAGCCCCAAATTGTTATAACAAAAAAAAAAAAGAAATGCGGAAATGTAGGAATGGTTTCATTTATGTCTTCATTCAGATGTGCCAAAGTACTCTCACTTATTTGCAAGTCAAAGAACTTGTTCTAATAAATTCGAACCTAGTTCTATTGAGCTTTGGCAAATTGAATCATCCTTTATACTGTACATACAAACCCCTTTAAAGCGACATTGATGTAAGAAACAAATGGGTGTAAGTGGTATTATGTAGGCACACCAGTGTGCATACAGTAAAACACGGGTTGATATGAAAATGCTTATAAAGTATCGTGCTTATAAGGGACATTCATATAAAAGACAAGAACTGCTCCCGGAGCATGCCTCTTATAAAGGGGTCCAACTGTATTCTCGAAATGATAATGCTTCAATGCCAATGCATGGGAAAATTTAGGGTTGCATCGAAGAAAAATAGCCCCTCGACATTTCGTAATTGAACATCGGGCAGAGCGAAACAGCCTAAGAAGTTGGCTTGTCTCCACAACAGAGGTGTTACCCACACGAATTTTAAAGAGCGAGTGGTGCGAGTATGAGGGCACCCAATGGAGTGAGTAGAAACCATCGTGTGCCATCACATGCTTTCTGCCGGGGTGTCTCATTGTGAGGAGTTGCCATCCCCTTTTCATGCCCATATTACAATTGACTGCCGTAAAATGGAAGAACTTGGCTGTTCTTCGCGAATCTGGCAGTAGACCAACACAGTTGGATGTAGAGAAAAGCGTCTGACGTCTCCGCTGCGTAAAGCATTCCAAGAAGCACGCTGAGTATATTATTGAAAAACACCGCCGACGTTAGACCCAAGACAGGCTAGAGGTTTCTGGTGCCTTCTGAGTACATAACGCTGCTCTTGACGATCACAAGTCACTGTTTACAATACTAACGTACATTCTCGCCTACTATTCGGCTCTGCATATAACCTGCACTCCCGAATAAAAATGCTAACAAAATGAAAACAAAATTTCATGCGTAGTGCTGTCAACCTCCTTCTAAACATTATTGAAAGCAGAACAGTGAAGGCAACTTGTGGCCCAAGATTCGCATAGAAAACTTATAGACTTGTTTGAGAATTCTGCATCAAATAACACAACACATTGAACTAATTCTGTTTTTTAGCGAGCTCAACATATAAGAGTTTCAGAGTGCCCCGATCCTTCAATCTGGTCGACAAATATTGACCATGTCCCACTTTTTTCTTAACCGTACTTGCTATAATTTACTGCACCCTCGATTGTGACGCACACCCGCTTTTCACGACAAAAAAAAAAAAAAAGTGAAACATTGATTGCAGCACGCACCCATTTTTCACGACAGAAAAGAAAAAAAGTACGGAGGAGTGAACCTTCGCATCTTGAGAAGAACAAGTATTTGGGATTTAAAGCACTAAAGTTTCAAAAACTAAAACAAGTCATACAACCGACCTTGCCACTACAACTGTCCGCACTACGGCGTCGATATGAGTCGCGTAATAGGTCAGTCCTCGTCGCTGTCAGACAACTCTTTATCGCTGACAACAACCCAAAGCATCTAATCCTCGGTACCGTCCATGGCATTCCAGATCCCACATTTCTTAAATGCCTTGATGACTATGGCTATTGGTGTCGCACACCCCGCGTCCTTCACCCATGCAGCAAAGTCTTACAGAGAGGTGCGCTTCATCCTGTTGCTTGGCGTGAAATCGTGTCGGCCATTGATCAGCCAGGAGGTGTACTGCACCCGAATCTTCTCCACCACCACCTTGTTCAGGCAGACATCGAGTGGTTGAAGCTGTGATGTTACGGCACCAGGTATGATGACAAGGTTCGCATAGCACGCGACGAGCTCGTCTTGATGCACTTGTTGAGATGGCACCTGAACGCATCGAGCACGAGCATCACTCGCAAGCCCGAATTGGCGCCAGGCCACCTTCACCAGATGTGATTGCCCCAACCCGCAACCAAGTCCGTTGTCATCCACCCTTTTTCGTTGGCTCGCACGATCCCAGCACTCGGGAAGACTACTCCTTTCTGAAGCGTCTTCAGTTTGAACATCAGGTACCGGGGAAGCTTGTGCTCATCTGACGTGCAACAGAGCATTGCCATCACTCTTGTTTTCTTGTGGCCAAACGTCAGCACGCACACTTGCTTCGCCCCCTTGTTCTTGACGGTTGAGGTGCCAGGCATGTCGAAGTAAAGAGGCGTCTGATTGGCATTGTTGGTTTTCCAAGCTGGTAGCCATTGCTGTGGTGCAAGTTTACGACAAACCTCTGAAAACTGTGAAGCGTCTCTTCACAACTTATCCGGCCGCTTCTGGCATATGTCCGTGCACCTTTAGAGGAAAAAGCCTTTCCTCTTCATAAAGTTTTTTCACCCAGCTCCTGCTCACTTTAATCCTCTCCACCTAGCACTTTTTCTAATGCTACCCGTATGACTTGGACCTGGAACACATCTTTTGTCACGGGCCGCTGTGCCGCTCGCTGCTCAAGCACATACTCGGTGAGCAGCTCTTCGATTTTCGGGAACCGGCCCTACTGTGGCGCACAGAAAACTTTTCATGAAGCTTTGCTGTCGACAATCTTCCCCTTTTGTTTGCGCCACTCTCGCATGCACGTTTCGGGAACTCCAAACAACTGTAATACAGTCCAATTTCCATCCGTCTCTGCACACATTTTCTTTCAAATGCGCCGTCGTGGTGCACTCGTTGAGTCTTTGGAGTCAGCACTTCCATACCGTCGATGTGAACACACAACAGGAAGACAACCACCTCAGCACACGTACGAAGTGCCACACACGAGAAACACAATGGCAGAAATGGCCGAAGCGTGTTGGAAGTGGTCATTTTTTTTTTAAACTCCATTCTAACGCGCATGCGTTTTATGGACCCGCTCTACCGGAAAAAAAAGGGGTGCGCATTAGATGCGAGTAAATATGGTATTGTGTGAGCTGAAGGTTGCGGCTCAAGCAGAGGTGAAACGCATCAGCTGCTTCTGTAGTCCACAAGGTGCATAGAGGAGTGCTGGAAGGGGTGTGTTGAGTACACTGCAGACCAACTATTTCACCAAGGTAAAAGCACTGCACACCTGTGAATTACAGAAACCTATTTTGTAGTGAATTTAAGGCTAATGATTACTCTCAAATTTTCACCAGTCCCTGGAGTTAGAATTGCCACTTTGCAGTGGTATTTGCCCAGTTATAACGTACTTACAAAGGGGGGACATGGCACTTCCAAATTAAATTCTTTTGCTTTTATTTCTTGACTGGTTTTTGATAGACTTGGTTAGTTTATTTGTGTGCAGATTTGAAATTCGCAACTATTCTTCTACAATGATGTATAGCTTCTAAAAGCAAGTTCTTCTCTAAACTAAGGGAGTTGCATGTAAATTTGCGTATCGAAATACCTGTAATCAGGTCTGTGTGCAGAGCAACAAAACTGAATATTCAAAACCCGTTAGTTATGTTATGTTAAAACATAACAAAACAAGTCAAATCCCAGCATGCAATTGACTCATTCGCAAACGTTCAACGTACCATAAATTTTGTTCAAATGGGTTTAGAACATCTCTTTCTGTTGCACTGCGTACAGTTCTGACTGCAGATAATTGTACAGTCGAACATGGTTATAACAAACCCAAGTATATCACATTTTTGGCTATATCGAACTCGCAAGTTATCCCCTTGAAATTCTTTTGTAAAAGTATAGAAATTCACACATTTATATCAAACGGTATTTTTACCTGCCTTTGGATATCTAGAACGCCGCGCGAGCTGGAAGGTGCGCTTCGGCACTTGCCCATTTCCCCTTCCCCTCCCCTGCGATCTCCGCAGCAGCGAAGCTCCACGCACGAGCTGGAAGGCGTGTTTTTGGCACTCGCAGCAGCACCCAGTGACCTCCGTGCGGCACCACGCCTCCGCCAGAACCCGAAACGCTCGAAAAAAGGTAAGGGCGAGAAGGCTCGTACTGCGCAATCTCCAATTTGAAAAACAGATTTTTTTTTTTCGTTTCAATTTCTGTCTTTTATGATTTCTCCGCGACGCATAGGCTCGGAGAGCAAGAACGAAGAAGCCGATGTCCTCCTCCTTTCGCCTTTTTTTTTTATTTTTTTGTTGCTGTTTTGCGAGGTCTGATCACCCAACCACAGGTCACACTTTCTGCTATTGCCCTCGCAAGTAGCGGTCGTCTCGCAAGCGCTTTGTTGCTCTCGAGCTGTCGCGTCGTCGACGTACCACCAGATTTGCAACATTTTTCTTTTGCATGCCTGGTGCAAAGCCGCTACGGACTCCTTGAATTGTCGGCTTCTCGTGTAGCTATAGCCAGTGTCAAGAAGTGCAAGACCCTTGACTTTGCGATGAAGTTGAAGGCTATTCAGCGTGTTGAGGCGGACGAGAAATGTTTGACCATCGCGGACAACTTCGGAATACCACAGAGCATTCTGAGTACCTCGTTGAAAAACAAGGCAGATATCAAGGCAAAGGCAGCAAAGCAGAAAACGCCGGGAGCCTGTCATGTGCGCGTTTCTGCCCACGGGAATGTAGAAAAGGCACTGCCTGGTCTTTAGAAGTGCGCGCGAAGAACATTCCGGTGGATGGCCCGATGCTGATTGCCAAGACCAAATGGTTTGCCGCTGTACTCGGTGAAACAACTTCGCCGACTTTACCAATTTAAGCAATGCTACGTCATTGTTGGCAAAACCATTTCTGGCAAAAGCGAAACTGTCAGCAGCCAGGACATCCAGCAATGGATGACGAAGGAGTGGGCGGAAATCTCCGTGCAGTTTTCGCCGCGGCGATCTTCAATGCCTGGCGAGATGAGATGAATGACACAGTGGTCAACTGCTTTCGTAGGACAGGCTTCGAGACGGTGGAACTTGCGGAAACCGGTGAAGACGATGGCGAGCGCATAGATGACGGCTTTCACGAGTTGTGATAAGATCAAGACTAGCGTCTTCAACATTTCAAAAACGAAGAAGCAAGACAAGGTTAGCAATTTTTTTCCCGCAAATAAATTATTCTGTTTCGACGTGTGTGAAAAATTAGGCGTCATTCTTCAATGCACCAATTGTAGATGATGATCCGCTACAAGTAAGCTTTAGGGGCCTCTATTTTTTTATATCGAATTTTTCATACATCAAACTAATTCACGATCCCCTTCGAATTTGACATATTCATGTTCTACTGTATTATTCTGATTCATTTTCTAACTCTCTCAGTTTGGACAACATGTTGCTTCTCGAAAGGCAAATGAAATGTATTGTATTTTATAAACTGCACATCATAAAGCGAAATGACTGCATATTTGAAACTACCACAGAAATATACATAAGGTGACTAAGAAATAATTTTGTTTTTAAAAGAGCAGTGTTCCACCTTAATATAATGCAGTGGTACAGGCAGAAATCTTGATCAGATGAAATGCACAACTCTGAAGGAGCTTTGTTTTTATTCCTTTTTATGCTGAGGTTGCACCCATGACCTTGTTAAACTAAAGCTGGACCACATCGAGCTGGTTAACAGATGGTTAAAGCTGCTCACCTTGTAACCCTTGATGATGAACTTGGAAGCTGCAGCAGAGGAACTCGACGGAGTGGTGAGAGGTCGGTGGGGCGACCGACAGCGTCCAATACCGCCGGCCTCTAAGTCACTGCCCTCCGCCCGGTCCTCCTCCATTGAATCCTCGGGCAGTCGAGTCTGCTCCAATATCTGGTCTACCACTTGCTGCAAAAGGCGCTCCGAGCCGAACACGCCTGAAAGGTTGTTCGCCGATCACTCCACAACAGTGCTATAGCCAAATCTCATTGAAAAGATAATACTTGTGGCAAGAGAAGTGCTTTATTGCCACAGGTAGTGACGTTGAAAACGGCGAAAGTCAGCGGCTTCAAGACAGTAATATTTATTCGGGTAAACTTTTGCCCGGAAATCAAAAAGTCGGGGTACAACAAGCAATCTATGCTATACACTGATAGCCATCAGTCAAAGGGGGAGGTGGGGATCGCAGCTGAATTTCTTTATTTTTGGTAGCAGGACAATGAAATTTGGCAATCTTATTGAGAAGTACACAGAATGACTATGAAGTTTCATTAGGATACTTACAGAAGTTTTGAAATTATAAGTTTTTACTTGCATCACAGCTGTACCAGACTTAACAAAAGCTTAACGCCACGGACAAAAAAAAAACATTGCATAAAAGCCTACAGTTGCTCTTATTTTTTATCCATAGGAATGGTCGATGCTGTGACAATCTCAAGATATTGTTACGAGTAACTTGTTTAATGATCTATTTACAGCACACAGAACTCAACGAGCAAAATGGCGCCAGTCCAGCATCAAACAAAAACTCACTTCGTCCTCTTTCACGAAGCCGTATTTAGCGGCTGTTGCGTATCATAACCCACGGCGGTAGAAGCACCCTCCCGGTGCTAAATCTACGCAGATGATGTCGAAGGGGGGTAATAGGGCTTTAGCCGAGCCACGTGAACGGTGTCGCTCGGAGCTGACGATGACTTAGTTGGATCGGTTGGAACAATCTCATACGTGACGTCTGTCACTTGGCGAACGATACGGAATGTTCCAGTGTAGGGCGACAACAGTTTTTCAGACAGCCCTACACGCCGAGTAGGTGACCAGAGGAGCCCGAGAGAACCCGGGGATAAGTGCACGTCCCTATGGTGAGAATTGTAGAGCTGTTGTTGGTGCACCTGTGAAGCCTGTAGACAATTACGGGCGACTTGGCGCGCGTGGTCGGCGCAGGCAATGGCTTCCCTGGCATATTCAGTGGCCGCAGGTAGTAAAGTGTCTAAGGGTAGAGTTGGGTCCTGGTCAAATAGAAGATAGAAGGGCGAATAGCCGGCAGTGTTGTGACGAGATGAATTGTAGGCGAACGTGACATACGGCAAATGAATGTCCCAATCCTGGTGGTCTGGCGCAACGTATTTGGCAAGCATATCGGTTAGGGTCCTGTTAAGGCGCTCCGTGAGGCCATTTGACTGGGGATGGTACGATGTAGTAAATTTGTGCTTGGTATGGCAAGACCTCAGGATTTCATGAACGACAGCTGATAAGAACGTGCGGCCACGGTCAGTGAGAAGTTGGCGGGGAGCACCGTGCACTATTATGTCGCACAGCAGAAAGTCCACAACGTCGGTAGCGCAGCTGGTCGGGAGTGTTCGTGTGATTGCGTACCGCGTCACGTAGTCCGTGGCAACAGCAATCCATTCATTTCCGGCTGTGAAGAGTGGAAAAGGGCCCAACAGGTCGAGACCAACTCGAAAGAAAGGTTCATTGGGAACGTCGATCGGCTGAAGGTAGCCGGATGGGAAAGCAGATGGCGTTTTGCGACGCTGACATGGCTCGCAAGCGCTGACATAGCGTCGAACAGAGCGGGCAAGTCTAGGCCAAAAAACCGACGTCATACTTCATCGTATGTGCGAGAAACGCCAAAATGGCCCGTCATGGGAGCGTCATGAAGTTATTGCAGGACAGTGCGCTGGAATGACAGGAAGTAAGTCTGATCCGAAAGAATCAAGGTTACGGCGATATAGGATCCCGTCTTTCACCAAAAACATTCGTAGAGATGGGTCGCGAGGCGTTGGCTCCAGTTTGTCAATGATGGCTCGTAAAGAAGCATCTCGATGTTGCTCTTTGCCAATGTTCAACAACTGCGTCACGGAAAAAACGACCGTGATAGCGTCAGTATCGGTTGCTTCGTCAACAGGGTAGCGGGATAAACAATTCGCATCCTGATGTAATCGCCCTGTTTTGTACATTACAGAGAACGTGTACTCTTGAAGGCATAGAGCCCAACGAGCAAGACGTCCCGTGGAGTCCTTCAAGGAGGCTAGCCAGCAGAGTGCGTGATGATCCGTGACAACACGGAATGAGCGCCCGTACAGGTATGGACGAAACTTGGCGACTGCCCATACAAGGGCGAGGCACTCGCGCTCAGTGATGGAATAGTTGCGCTCGGCTGGAGAGAGCAGTCGACTTGCGTAGGCTATAACACGATCGTGTCCCCGTTGTTGCTGCAATAGCACACCTCCTATGCCGTGTCCACTGGCGTCCGTGTGAACCTCGGTTGGGGCTAATGGATCAAAGTGAGCCAAGATTGGTGGCATTGTAAGCAGTGTCGTAAGTTGCGAAAATGATGACGCTTGGTCATGGCCCCAGATAAACGAGGCGTCTTCTTTCAAGAGGTCTGTGAGGGGGCGTGCAATGGTCGCAAAGTCCTTAAGGGGGGATGCTACACCTTCCAAAAACTCTTATTTTTGCGAGTACCTCAGTCAAATTTGGAGAGCCTATGTAGATTTTACTGCTGATTTCAAAAATCTAATTCTTTTTTTGCTGTGACAATTAGTTTTAAAGATATAAAGAACTGCGACTTTTTCAATTAAGGCCTAATTAGCTAATTAACTGTAACTTGGATATTGATGTGCAACCTATAAAACCAATTCGGTATGTTCACAGTGTGCAATAAAGTATAACTCATTGTTCTGGGCTATTTCGAAGCAAAGTTGTGGGATGTTGAATATGACATGAAAAATTTCCCCATCTACACTTGAAACAAAAGATCCATTTAGAGAATTTTCTCCAAAAATTATTACAATAAAACTTACTTTACGACACATCCCCTGCATTTATCTTCGAAACAAAAAAGAAATCGTAATGATAACCCAGATAGAACAAGAGATATTGCTCCGGCATAATGGGAAGCACATGAAAATTGTCGTTTTGAGAAATCGAGAAAAAACGTGGGCACACATTTTTATTGCAGAAGATGCAACAAGACAACCTCAAAACGCACCAGAAGCATAGTCTGAATGCATTCTGTGCTCATGCCTCCTCTTCACTAGCTTCCGGAGTTCCAATGAGGCTGTTCTTTTCTTGTTGGAGACAATGCTGCGACGGTGGTCTTTTTCTCTCGCTCTCCTGGCACCAGTACTTGTCGCATTCATGTCCATTTCACCTAAGATTGCCGTTGCAGAATTCAAATTGCCCGTGTTGAAGCGCAGCACTGCTCCTGCAACAGCTGCTTCAACAGCGAACAGGGATGCATGGTGCTCCTTGGGGGCCAAACTCCAGATTACCGAATGTAGGCTCTCGTTGGAGTTCTGCGTTTTGCCGCGTTCGCACCTCTGAAGCAGGGCTCTTTCCGAAAGCCGGGTATAAACCGGTAGTAATGCGTCTGCCACGTCTTTCGGTAGATTGTAGGCATGCCTGGGGTCGGGCTCACCCTTTGCTTTTGCGGCATTGTGCCGACACCGTGAAGTTTCACCAGCTGGGCACAGACTGTGGTCCGAGCATTCATCAGTGGAGGTGACGTGGCGGTATGTGGCCATCACAGCCTTTTGCATCTCGCCCACGTCACCATCATGCGATTTCAGAGCCCGGCCATAATATGTGCTCAGCCTGGTGATCAGCTCACCTGTGAGCCTGCCTTTCCCACCAAGGCCTCTTTTCCCATCGCACTTTTGTTTCTGCACCAGGTTTCTCAATGCGGTGCCCATCCGTTTCTGTACATGATTGATAGCACGTCAATGTAACCATACACCTTGGCGTCTTGTATGGCGCAAAATGTCCTAGAGTCTCCATCAGACAGCATAGTTGTGTAGCGCAGGCCATGGCGTTCAAGCGACCTCTGAAATAGAATTAGAGCCGCCTCCACTTCCATTTGCCCCGCTTTGCTGTTCGTATTTTTTTGGCATTTGTGGTTAGCCTTCCATTCTTGATAGCCCTCACTACTAGGCTTTGGGCCCACCTCGCAGCCTAGGCAAAAGTTGGAAAGAACGACGTAGTCACACACGTAGCCACTAAATAATTCGATAACTGTGCCCACGCCGATGTGGGAAGAATGGCCTCGCGTCTTCCACGTGCCGTCGTAGCTAACGGCAATATTGCCCCGGTGGCCGAAGCACAAGTCATCATAAATTGTTCTAACCTTTTCCGCACATTCGCTCATAGCGGACTCAGCCGCTCGCGTTGCAGCGGGTGCCAGCGTGTTCTTCAAATGCCGCTGAAACGTCTTGTGGTGCATACCGCAGTGTGAGATGCCCATTGTTGCGAAAATATCGTTCATTTTCGTTTGGCCGTTGCCGGTAGCCACCATCGCCCTCGAAGCGAGAAGATTTACTTCAAACGGATTGCACGTTTTCGTGCCGTTCGCGCGAGGCGAAGTCCATTCATTCGCGATCTCGCCGCACCTTTCACACTGCACTAGCACTTTCACGGCAAGTCCGTAGTCCCGATCCCCTCTGACGATCGTAGCCGGTCCGTGGCAGGCTTTGCAACACATGGCACCCATTATCGCGTTTAGGATATCTAGATGCATAAGCAGATAAGGAGCAGCGTGGTCCGAGTCCTGTGCGGTTGCCTCGCTACAACTCGCGGTGAAAAAGTCAATTTTCCGTGCAGTTGCTGGCGCCGATGAAAGCCGGTCGAGCGTCGCTTTCTCCCGGGCATGATTTTCTTCAACTTCGGCGTTTGTCACCACCTTGGCGTCGATTCGTAGTCGTCCGGAGTTCGCTTCACCGTCATCGTCGTCGGAGGCAACGCGCTCGGTTTGCACCATCGCTGAACGGCCGCGGAGCGTCGACACATCGTTCGTCGGAGTCAACCAAGGGCTCTGATGACTTCGTAGACTTTCTCCCACGACCTTTGCGTTTCCTGCGACCAAATGCGTGCACGGTCCGATACTTTTTTGCGTTTCCAGGCATGGCGATACGATCAGAAGCTTCAGAGTGCTCTGCCGATT